GGTGTCTCCTGGGTGCGGGGTGGCTCCTCCATAGCAGCCTTGCTGTGCTGTGGAGAGTGAATGGGGGAGTTACTGCAGCGTCTCTAGGAGGGGCTATAGCTTTAGAACCTGGCTGAGGGAGAGCCTGGGCCGCATAAGGTGAGAGACTACATTTTTTAATAAGGAAGAAAGTGAGGGCAAAGCAGTGATTTAGACCATGGTATAATTCAACATCATTGCTTCTCCTGAATTAAATGTATTTCCTTTGCTCAGGAAAAGCCTTTAAGGCCAGACCTGCATGTCCTATGTGATAACTTCACTCACACTTCACTGTGCTTCAGCTGCACAGTGTGAGACCTCAGGTTGTGGAGCTGATGTTATAGGAAGCCCAAACCAGGGAGTCCCTGACAGGTCTCAGTTAACCTGTGCTCATTTGCGGCATCCTAGTTCTGCCTGTGTTGTCACTAGTCAGGAGACCAGAGCCAAGTGCCTGCCCTTGACTCTGGGGCAGGAGAGGAGCTCCTGGGGACACTTGCATCCCGTGCGTTCAGAGTTGCGTGCTCAAGGTGCAGTATTGTGACTGCCTTCCTACACCCAGCCCTGCTGTCCCGTTTCCTCCATGCAGCTATCTAGGCATCAAAACAAGAGCTCTCCTAGCYGAGAAGCAGGGCCAAAACTCTTCCAGGCAAATTGGTCTGTGCTAGATTACCTCCSTGATCTGGCTGCGCAACCAGATGAGTGCCTGGCCAACACAAAGTGGGTCGTGGGAATGCATATCTGGGCTAGGTTGGTCAGATTTAAATTTAATCTGATGGTGCAATTTATAATCAGCTTAGGATTATATGTTTTATTCAGATCAAAGGATTTTTCTTGTCAATAGCCAAAGCCATTTGTTGCACCATCTTTTGTACTCGGTGAAGAAGGCAGAATATGATGCTCCCTCTCTTAAGGGTTGAGGGGAAATGTAGAGACCCAGGACCCAGGAGAGTAACAGTGCAAACCAYCAGCTGCAGTGACTAGTGACCACCAGGGCAGGCCGGTCCATGTCCTCATGCACYACAGGTAAAACATCTAGAGGACTTCAGGGCACCGTTACCCCTAACCAGAGATGGGTAATGTGCCTTGTGTCTTTCTTCTGCACTTCTCTGTGTGCCCTTTAGGCCACRCAGGGACCTTGTCCATCTCGCAGGCTGCCCGGTGCTGGGCCTCAGCCCCTCTGGATGCAGGGAAGGGGATGAAGAGAGGCCATTGGTCCCYGGGCGCTGTTTTCCGTGCGATGCCYGAGCTGACGGCTGCTCTCCTGTTCTCCTCCGTGGYGCTCGGCCCACGTCTGGCCATGGGCAGACAATGGGGAGGCTGCTGCCCTCTCTAAATAGCCCATTGTGCGCCCGGAGGAGGAGCAGCAGAGAGCGACCGCATCGTGTCCTGCCAGCCTGGGCCAGTGCCTTGAGATGCAGGCTCTGCTGCAAGGAGCGAGCCACGGGGGTGGCAGGGCCTGCGTGTCAGTGAGAAGAGCTGCTTTGTCCGAGCACTGCAACACTCCCATGGCGTGAATTCAGCAGGATGCTTTTCCAGGCTGAGTACTGGAAACTGCAGTTTCCTCAGGTATGGCCAGGACAGGTATTTATCTCCTCTAGTAGCTCTTCTGTCCTGCTGCTCTTTAAAGCCTCTCTTTCAGGYAGCAAGTGCTCTTTTCCAGCTAAAACCRTGCAAGGGTCAATTGGTTGTACTGGGGGGAGTAATCTTGAGGTTCTCAAATATTGTCCATTCTGTTCCAAGTTTGTTTCTAAATGTAGCCACTTGAGTATCAAAGTATCAAACTTGAGTATCCTTCTTGCAGGAGATCTGCTCCTTTTAGGTCTCCAGGCTTGACTTCTCCTCATGTGCTCTGTCTTATGGTASGAAGAAGTTTCTCCTTTGAGTACCTGGAGTGTAGATCCCATCTGGATAAGAAGCAATGGTGGTACTTGAGTCTACAAAAAGCRCGGTGTTACTGCCATTTGAGTCGATTAGTCTTGCACAGGTCTGTCTCCTTAAGTGTTAAGTTTCCTGTGGCAAAGCAGTTAAAGTGCTTRTTTTTCCCCCAGGTGGATGGTTCCTGCTGATATGCAGTATAAGGGAACAGCTCACTGATCACTTTCTTAGTCCACCAATGGTTGTAACGATGGGTGGGGGAAGATCTTAATGAAMCCCCGAAATATGGAGGCCTGTAGATAGGGATTTGGGAGTGTCCAGTGCGAGCAGACCGTGTGACCGAAAGGTCTCTCCCAGTCCAGCCTGGGTGCCTGCTGGGCTGCTCTGCCTGTCCCGCGTGGGGAGAGGCGGCTGAGTGCCGCGCTCCCAAGGAGAGGAGCAGAGAGCCGGGTCCTGGATCCCTTGAGAGCGTCTCTGAAGGTATAAACTGCACCCCTTCATCTCGGGAAAGACCCTGGAGGGCCAGGTGTAGTTGGAGCATGGGCCAAACAAGTGTGGGGATGGAGCAAGGAAAACTGAGAGACCTTGAAACTCCCTGCCTCCTCTGAGGGGTCTCTTGTTTGTAAATGTGATTTTTTTTTTTTCCCTGTTTTCTCTGGTTTTGCCTTATGCGCAGAGAACAGGAGCTGATGTCGCTGAGCAGGTAGTGCTGAAGCTACGAATTGCTTGGTCTTGCAGAAAACTTTATTCTATCCTCTTTTTGTGCCAGTGAGGCAGATGCAATAAAACATTCTGAAGCGGTCATATCATGGCTTTATCAAAGCTACGTAATGTGTTTTATTGCCTCTGTTTATGCTCAGGAAGATCTAATTCTTATTATASGTTGTCCTATAAAAACTGTTCGAGAAAATAAGAAGTGGTGGTAGATGAGGTTTTCTCTTGCTACGTAGCCCTAAATCATACTGACTTTTTGACTACAATAGGCCGCTTATGTGATTGAACTGAACTTATTTAAATTCTTCCTAGCTGTAGTAGCACAACAGCCTTTTGAAATAGTAATTCTSTAATAACACTGCATTCCTCAACCCTGCAGTGCGTGTGCAGGACACATCAGGGACTGATGCAGAAGAGAGATGAAATATCTGTTGTTTGAAAGTCAGAGGGGATTATTGTGTTTCTTGGGGAGGGAAGAGCTAAGCTTATCCATTTTTTATAACACCTCCCCYTTTCTAGTTTTGTAACAGGATCTATAGTAGGATACTTAAAATTGGCTTATTAGTAAAGTATACTGTTAGAAAGACTTTTTTATTCTTAACTTTCTTTCATCTATGTATCTTTAAAACCTGCAGAGATAGGAGCATGATTTTATACACAGAGAGTGAGAGAGTGGCAATCTTACTATTRTGTGTGTGTTTGTATGTACATAAAAAGGTATTTATATAGAATTAACATTTCCCCAGTCAAGGAAAGATGAAAAGATTTCTTCCTGACATATTCAAGAGCCCTTCTTTCACCTTCCCCTGCTTCAGTTCAGCTTGTTGCAGGCTTTAGATGCTGTCTGCTGTGTGCCAGGGTACCCATGGGTGATATAGGGGCCTCTGGCCCGGGTGCAGGGGAGCTGTACCCCGAGGCCGTGCTGCAATAGCAAGGGCTGGGGGACAGGGAGGCTCCCAGGGGGCTGCAGGGCTTTCCAGGGGCCCTGGGGCAGGCGGCACCCGAATCCAGCCTGCCATCCCCTGCACCCTTGTTCCAACCTGTTGCTTTCCCCTTCTGCTGATGTTGTGAAAACATGGGCCCTTTGGACTATTTATATGGCTTTTTTTGCGCTCTGCAGCAAATCCTTGTTCAAATACTGCTCGGCCTACTTACGGGCAGGACGCCCCTCCTGTTACCCCGTTCAATAAGCAGTTGCGGCACCGCGGATTTCAGCAGGGCGCTGTGGGCCGGGGCTGCTCCGCAGCAAGGTGCAGCCGCAGCCCGGCACAGCCGGCCGCAGCGCCTGGCTGCCTGTCAGCACCGCTCGCCTCTGCACCCGCGCTATTCTCCCTAGGAAGTGGCTTGACCCATTTTTTTTTTTTTTTTTTTCCTGGAATAAATACTGTGCGGCCTGTGGAGCGGAGGCAGCGTAACGCGCCGGGCGCCGCTGGCTCTGCTTGCGGCCCGCAGCGCCGTGGGGTGACGGCGGCCGCTCGCAATTGGCCCCGCGCGCCGCCCGCCCGTCGCTCACCTCTAACCCAGTGGGCAGGAGCTGCCGCGCTGGCTCCTTCGCCCTCGGCATGTGACCAACGTCCTGGGAGACCTTGGCCCGGAGCGGGGCGCCAGCGGAGCTGCTGCAGCGCTGCTTTCCCTGGCCTCTTCCTGCTGCGGGGTGTGCATGGCAGGCAGCACGGAGCCGCTCCTCCCGGTTCCCTGCTGCACTGCAAAGGGGACAAGTAAAATACTTGTTTGCGTTGCTGTGTTAAACCTCTGCGGCTGCTGCTTTTCTTCTGCTCTRTGGCTGAAGATGAACTGCTGGTGTCAAGCTGGGAGGAATGGGAAGCCAGCTGATAGAGCGAGGCAATGGAAAGGTGTCAGCTGCTGCGACGTGTGCTCTGGGCACCRTTGAAGGGGGAGCACAGACGACTGAGATTATTTTAATTGGATATAAGAGATGAGAAATCCTGCTCATCAATATACTACTGTAGAACTGGGAAACTCTAGTGGTACAAATCTGTTGCCTTAATGCAAGGAAAGTCGTGTCTCCCATAGCTCTTYTCTCCCTTTTTTTATTCACTGTAGCTATTCTACATGTAGCTATTCTATTCATTTAAAAAGTAAGGCAAAAGTCCCATTAAAACGCAGTGTCTGTTAAAACAGTATTTAAAACCTGGAGAAACTGCCTCCTTTCAGTCCCAGCATTTTCTAGAGCTGGTAATTGCTTACTACTGAATTGCAYTGTGGATGTCTGAAGTTATTGCCTACTTAGTTTCAGGGGAAAAAAAATGTTGATAGTAGGAAGCTAGAAGGACAAGGAACACACTGGTTTCCCACAGCAACAGTGAATCAAAAGGGATTTGGGCATCTTTATATATGTGACTTCTTTTTTTTCCTCTTATTTCCACAGAGTCCAGCATCAGGAGAAGCACACTGAGCTACAATGCAAGCGCATGAGTTGTTCAGAAGTCTGCGGATGCCGGAGCTTGGGGACGTCAGGCAGTACGTGCGCACCCTCCCAACAAACACGCTGATGGGCTTCGGAGCTTTCGCAGCTCTCACTACCTACTGGTATGCAACGAGACCTAAGGCTCTGAAACCACCATGTGATTTAGCAATGCAGTCTGTGGAAGTAGAGGTAAGTGTCGCTTGGTGGCTGCTGTCATTCRTCACGTTTGAAGCTCAGAGATTGAGAGAGCAACTCTTAGAGTGTTTCTAACTTTGTGGTGTGATGGGCCCTGTGTTTCAGGGTGAGCACTTCTGTGAAATCTGTCATGAACTTGTGTCTTGGCTTTCTGAATTCCTCCTCTGCTCAAGATGAAGGTCATTGAGGTGGTAGCTAGTATGGGAGAAACAGGTTTTCTTTCTAGGAAAGCTGAGCTCCCCATCCGAGTGGTGGGAAACCTGTGTGTGTTAGAGCAGCTCTGAGGTAGCTTTTCCTCCTTAGCCGTGTGGTTAGGTGATGACATATTAAGTTAGTTCTTGGGGTTGGGTTATGCATGTTGGAGTATGTTGGTTAGGCTAAAACTCTTTTCTGCTATAATACTTAGCTTACAGTTGACAGATGAGATTTTTATATCAGGTTACAAGCAAGAAGAGAGTAGTAACTGTCCTGAAATGATCCATGGAAAGATCTAGTAGTCCTGGAAAGAGATCATGATCATAGACTAAGCTGAACTCAAAGCAGCCTCCTCCTGCATTGTGGATATGGTAGCTGCAGTTGGATGATGGTTGTTTTTAATAATGAAGCAAGGAAAATCACTGGAAGAAACCGTGGCTTAGAAGCTAACACAGGCAATCACTAGAGTTTCTTGAGGAGTGGTTTTATCAATTCCCTTGTTTACCACAGAGTCAGAATCATATTGTTTTGATTCCTCCAAAAGTGTTTTGGTATTTCTTCAGGGCCCATAACGTGTTTCCTTTTTTAGAAGGAAGGAGACAGGCTTGAATAGCCATARTCTGTAAGGGAAGATGCATATAATATGTAGCAATGTAAGGGCGATAACTTCTTTCCCTGTGCCATGGATTAGTTGAATCATGGCTTCTAACAGCTCCTTCAAAGGAAAAGGATTAGAGGAATCCTGCATTACTGTCGATGATCATTGTAGTGCATTTGTTCTGGGGTTCTTGCAGCTCAAGTTTCCCATTACCACAGATTATTATGTGGACAAACCRCATCTAGTTCTCCCCAGTCGATGCAATTGGGCATAAAATAAAATGATTTTAATGTCACATTAGGAGTAGATGTAACTAGTGTAAAGAAATATGGCATAGAGCAGTCTGAAATTTACAGTAGGTAAAGTTCTATAAACTTTAACCAGATGAGACTTGTGTCATGGCCATGAAACAGGCAGTTTCTTTGCAATATTTCATGATACTAAAATAGTATCTACTATTTTATAGTAGCTAGMTACTAATACTAAGGTATTAGCTGGCCCCTTTGTTCAAAAGTTTGTATAATACTGTTTTATTTCTTACCTGAATAGCCTTTCAGAGTGCTATATAGTAAGCTCATTGGCTTACTCTCTGAGTGTTACAGAGAACCTGTGGTAATTAATGACTTGCTATTAGAATTGCACAGAGAAGACACAGATGTGATCTGAGGGCTTTTCCATTAAAAGATGGTCAAACAGCGGCTCGTCTCTAGCCACAGACAGTGACAAACACTTAAGGCTGGAGACTCTTGACCGTCTCCAGGCTCCCTGCCCTTAGCTCTTCAAGGCAAATTAGCTCCTTGCTGCTGGATTCGGGGGCTGAAATCACTCTGTAGTGGGAGCTGTGCTGAGCTGATCCATGTTGCACTAATGAACACCAGCTCTCTTGTCTGAGTAAGGTAGGTGGAGAAGCCTTATGGTTTTTATTGCCTCTTCATAAAATGCATTTTAATAAAGATTTACTAATAGTATAACACAAACAAGAAGTGACTGAACAAGTTAGTACATCTTAAACCTTGAGGACCTAGATTGAAGGAACAGTGAAAAAATCTGTGCATCGTGTTCTTTGGCAGTTGATACACAGCCCCTGGCAATGTAAAGATGTAAACTGCACTAAAGTGCCATCAAATCGGAATAGATATGTTGAAGTAATCTTAAAGCATGTGCTGGAACTGGTACTTTTATAGGAGTAAGAAGGGTGTTGTTACAGCATTAGAGGTCCAATTTCTCCCTAAGTAAATGTGCTTTGTATCTTGCTTTGAGTACTTTCTACTCTCTCATAGATTTTGTAAGCTGAGCTTCTCATTTCCACAGCACTGGTTTCAGATAATATACCTGCACCCTTTAACCAGAAAAGATGTGAAAAGGACTATCAGAGTCAGCAGTGTTTTCCAAAGAGATTTAGCAGGAAGAAACTCCTCTTCTGTTTTGAATAGCACATTTACCTTTAATTTTGAGTTTAAATACGTTTCTGCTTACTTCTGGTAATGAAATATGTGTGCAAGCTTTTGACTTGCTTCGTTTGCCTCTGACAAATTCAAACGAAGTCAGTGATTGGGGAGGATTTCTAAATGTTCAGATGACGAATTTTCAAAACTTCTCAGGGGAGGAAGAGTGTCCTGTGTATGGCARTTCCATGTTGCTTCCCATCTCTGGAAAACTTGGCTTTGGCAGGTCAGCACCCTGTGACCCCTTTTGACCATCAATGAATGAACATGAAGACTGGATGTCGAGTGGGATGTCAGCTCAGAGGCCTGCTGAAAGTAAAGAAAATTATTTCCCTTTAGGAAAGACCAATGTCTTTAAAGCTACCAACTCAATTTTCTTTTCAGGAGAGTTTTTTAGAATGCTGGTGCATTGAAGATAAGATTCATGAAGAGTAATTCTAGTCTAGCCAGTTGGAGAGACTAGTTAGTATTACCCAGAATTTCACTGTACTGAATTGTGCACTATATTGTTGCTAGGAATCTYGTGTGTTCACCTAACAGTGAGGTGTTTCAGCTGTATTTAGCAAAGCTCAGGTGCACCATTAATCATGTCTCTAATTGCAGATAGATGTGGTTCTGTTTGCTGATATATCTTCCAGGTGGTGATAGATATTTGAACAAATGCCTATTGATTTTAAGATTACAAACTGCATGATTATCAAATATATTGGTATTTAAATATGAAAAYACTGCTATTGAGGTCAAGCTTGGCTAGAACCTGTGGAAAGACAGCCTGTCTGTGTCTTAGAGTGCCTTGAGTTTGGACTTGCAACTGTGACTTTTTGSTTCTTCAGAAGAAGTATTCAAATATGGAGAAGGCCATTCTACTTATGAAGTAACTTTTAAACCTTCTTATGTTCTTCTGATAATTATTCCATCTCATCTTGTCTTTTCCAAGCTAACTTTTCAAGATAAGTGCAGGTYGTGTTAAGCAATTGGTCTTAGTGTTGTGTGCTTGCCTAGGGATTAGGTTGCTTAACGTTATATGGCAGGTTTGAGAACCCTGCCTTATCCTTGCTGCTCAGAATGTGCATGCCAATAATTGGGCAATCCTTGCTCCTCGGGAAGATGGTTTTCTCAGGAGAACAGAAGCTGCCTCCCATGGCTCTGGGGCATGCTGGAAACAGCCCTACCTGTGACAGCGCTGTGACTTGTGACAGCGCTGCTCGTCTGAGACGGCTTCTGTCGACAAGAAGCAAGCCCATGTCTTGAACAGAAAAAGTTCTCTCTTGTGTCCTGTGGCACAATTGGGCATAGAYTGGGTAATACAGGGGTCTTCCATGGAAAAGCCTCCGCATTTTGGATGCTCCTATTCTAAACCAGTGCCAAAGCCTTGCTGCAAAATGTGTTATCTTCTTGCAACTCCTTGAAATGCTGCAATGCCTGAAATGCACGCATGTGCACACACACACAATCCCAGTAACCTAAGCTTGTTCTTGGCATTAGTGCAGTATTATTGCTTCATCCCTCCAAGCCACTGTGGTAAGACCTAAAGGTGTTTTGAGCACTTGCCTCTGTGCTAGATGTTAGTTAGAGCCTATTCAAATAGATTGCACAAAATCAGTGCAGCATTGCAGGTCTGAGACAGAAACATGCAGCGGAGGGAGGGACTCGTGCTGCAGGAGCTGCTGTTTGGAGGAGCTTGATGGGAGCAGAGCTGCTCCTGCTGCACACACCGCTTCTGGATAAGGACCCTCTGCCCAGGCTGGTGAAATCTTGGCACTTTGCAAAGCAGAGTTAAGCAAGCAGGCCCCTAAGCTGGTTCTGTTTCACTTTCTCTATTGAAATAACYGTGGGGAGCTGACTTGGTCTTTTAATAGCCTGTGAGTTGCTGTGTTTTTCCAAAGGTCACTGCAATCAGTCCTGCACCTTCGTGTGCCATTTCTCAGAAGTCTTGCCTTCACTTTCAGTTGTGCCCCAGGCCCTGCAAAGATAGCCTTTGTGGCACTGAGTAATAGGATATGTAGAGAAAATAGTGGCAGCTCACGTGAGAGGAAAACAAGTTTATTGACCATTGCTGAGAAATGGCTCCGAATGTGGTACCTCACCAGGAATAGCAGCTGTGGCACATTGAACATGCTGCTGATGCAGGTTCCCCCTGACCTCAGGCCAGCTCTGGCCACAGGCAAACCAGGCAATCTAGTGGCTGACTTTGGAGAAGGTCCAGAAACAAGTGCATTAAAACACACGCAGTACTGACTTTTTCCCTATTTTCCTAGCAGAGACAGGCCTTGGGATGTTTTCCTATAGAACAGAGGATGTTCTCGGAGTGCCAGCATGCTCTTGGATACTTCTAATATTACGTGTGCTTAGAGGGAGGCCGGTCATTAACTTGTTCTGCGTCGCGTTCTTGGTGTGGGTTTCTGCTCACTGTCGAAGGAGTGGCAGGCGCTCCATTACGCATACAGAGCTTTGCAAAAACAAGTCAGACTTGTTTTATGGTTATATACATATATATTTTTCCTCGCTACATGATTGGCCACTAACATGCTAGCTCCATTCTGTGGACATGTGCAACATGACATCTATATGACATGCTATCAGCTACCTCCATAGTTCCAGTTAGCTCAAGGTTTGACCCTGTGGAAAGGGCTAGGATTTGACCCTAGCTGCTGATTTGGATAGTTTTATGTGGTGCTTGCAAGGAACCCACTGCTTGTCCTGCTATATAATAATTTGTAGGCACCTCTGTTATCTGAGCAAAACTAATAAGCGTAGCTTAATAGTACTTGCATAATTGTTTTATTACAAGTTAAAGTATCCAGATGTACTTTTGAATTATAAGATTATCTAATCAGTTATAATAAAGTAGACTGTATAAAAACTATGAGCTTATTCTGTTCATGTTCTCCTGCTGGCTCTTGGTTACAGCTTATGTAAATGCCAGTCTGCTCAAACAGGGTGTTTCTGTGAGTGTTTGGGTGTTTACTTTGTGTGTGGTGGTGTGTTTTTGTTTTGCTTTTTTCTTTTAAACTCAAGGTGATATTGTTCCGACTGGCTCTAACTAGGACAGGAGATGACTCTTGTGAAAAGGTGGAACTTTAAGGGGATTAAATAACTTGATTTATATCTGGCAGGGAATATGTTACTACTTGAAGCTTGTGTTTTGGAGTGTTGTTGATGGCTCTTAAAAATCAATCCACTTTTCAGTATCAACTTGAAGCAGAGTTATGTTTTCTAATTAAAACTAGAAAAAAAAAAAAAGTAGACTGTATTCTCATATCTAGAGAGAGAGATCATCATCCTGTCTGATAGTGGAGGCATTTGGAAAGCTGGCTGGAATTATGCTACATACTGCAATAATGGCTTAGAGCATTTCTTAAGTGAAAGTAATGTCCAAGGGCATTATGTGGTTCTGACTTGACCTATGTCATATGGAACTGAGGACAAGATTTTTGCCTAACAGGTTTTAGAAATGTGAGGGTGACTTGGCCCTGTTTTTCACCATGTATGTTCTGGGAAACCTTGCAGGAATTTTCCTGTCCTGTGGTAAAACAAACCAAAGATCTTTAAAACAAAATATTTAACGCAATTTCATAGGCCTTATAATGCAATATTTAAAAATGTTGTTTTTATTTTAATCATCTTAGTGATTTTCTGTTGATCTTTAACAGATGTGTGTAACATTCCTACTTATTTCATACAGGGTACTGAGCACGCTCGAAGGTCCTCCCTCCTTAAGAACGATGAACTTCTGATTTACTATTATGATGACGTGAGAACAGCTTATGATATCTTCCAAAGGGGTGTGCATGTATCAAGTAAGTCCAAAGATAAATTTTCTACAATAAGAGCTAAAGGTCTGGACTCTTTTGAAATGCATTTGGAGATATGTGGAATCTACCTAGCAATAAGATAATGTATTGGGTGTGGGCTTTCTCAAAGGCAGATTTAACCATGACCTCTTGTGAAGCCGAGGTGGATGAGCTAAGTCTGTGCTCTGCTACATATTCTAAATTAAACCTGACTGCATCCACGTCCTTCCCTCATTTCCTTCCTTCCTGGTGCTGCTCTCTTTTCCTTCTCTCACTTCCTTCCCCATCCTCCCCCCAAATAGTCTGGCTTTTGAATGTGTCTGCAAAGAATTCACCGGCTGTCAGCTTACCCCTCGCAAGAGTGTAGCTAGTGTGGTGTTGGGGCAGAGAAAGTAGGCTTTACATCTCAGTAACTTTGGGTTTGTCACGTTGTAGATAATGGTCCCTGTCTGGGCTCTAGAAAGCCAAACCAGCCCTATGAGTGGATCTCCTATAAAGAGGTAAGTAACCTCCCTAGCTTGGTGCTAGATCTGTGTTTGCTTTCTGTGACCACTGATAGAGCATTTAGTGATGTGATAAGTCTTACTTATGTGCAAATGTGTTAAACTAATATCTTAAGCTACTTTTACTGTGTTGAAATATTGTAAAAATTCTAGTTCTGCTTTAGAAGAATATCCTTATAAAGTGTGCAAATTGGAGAGAAAATGTGCCTTTTGTTTACCTTATTTGCTGTTCTCCTGAATCTTCTGGGGCTTTCTCTATTGATGAGAACTGTTTTAAACTTGTACCCTGCCTCTGAAGTGGAGTGCCTTTGGAGTGTTGCTCAGGGTTGGGGCTCACACCGTTCCTGCTGCAGTTGYTTGTTTCTGAGGACCTTTCCTAGTGTAGTACTGATCTCTATGTGCATTAATTGTGCTTCTTGGTTTATCTCCATACTGATGAATGGTAGTTGTATAGAGTGTTCAGAGATTTTAACCAGTAACTTCTTCATGATCACTAAAAGTAGATCTTCATGCAAATTGTTTTAACAGCTACGTTCCCTCAGAATGTTTCTGATTTAGTCAGCTGGTGACTTTAAACTTGTATGCACTAGGCGAAGTTCACACAATTAGCACAATTAAACATCTCCTTGCAGGCTGCAGAACTCACTTTTTTTCAAGGTGATTTTTACTGCGTATTGGTAGGATGTGTCATATGAATGGGAACTGTAATGGCATTGCAATGGGAACTGTAGTCATGGAGGACCCCATGATAGGTTCGCTAGACTATTTCATATCCRTTGTTGTGGTGTTTTTTTCTATTTTTGTTACATTTAAAATGTGGTATGTACTGATTAATGTGCTTTTATTTATTCACCTTTTTTACCTTTTTTCCCAGGCTTCAGACAAAGCAGAGTGTGTGGGCTCAGCATTGCTTTACCGAGGTTTTAAACCATCATCTCAAGCTCAGTATGTTGGAATTTTTGCACAAAACAGACCTGAGGTAATTTAAATGAGGGGAGTTGTGCTAGTGATCTACCTGCAATTGAAATTGCCCACGTCTTTAAAATCTGCTGCTTTTCAGCAGTGTACCTAGCTGCTGTACCTAAGTGTACCTAAGAAACATATTTGGGGTTGGCAAAGGTCAATGCCATAGGCCTCCAAGCTACCCATATGGCACCTCTAGCTAAAAAACAAAATTAACAATTGACAGCAGTTAATGTCTTATATTTTTCTCTCTCTCCCAGAGCTGGATACAGAACAATAAGAGAACCAGGGAATCTAAAAATTCCTCTTGAAAGACCCTTAATAGATCCCATTATCTGGAGCCCTTTCCAATGTTTACGTGGCTAAAAACTTACAGTGCTTTCTCTGTCTCCCCCTCTCCCCTTCCTGCTCCCCACTGCACACACACACACACAAAAAGACACAAAATAAAAGCTCTTGCTAGCCTGGTACAGATGAAGAAACTGTTTTTCTAGGCTCTCAAGTCTGCAACAATATGCTGCCTGGATTTTTCCCTTCAGTGTTCCAGTTCTAAGACCTGCAGTTATATTTCTGCCAGAAAAAGGCTGGGATGCCTCCAACAAGGAAACCATTAAATTAGGAGGACTTGGTTARGCTAGCAGTTTAAAGTATGGGATTTTCCCTGTCAAAAATGACTGGATGAGTGTTGTGACAACCCTAACATCATCACCAATCCAGACAGACAGAAGGTTTTTGCAAAGATTATCAGGCAATGTGATTCACACTTGTTCAGAGGAAAAACTACAGGGAAAATCCCTAAAGGGGAAAATCCCTAGTATGCCCCTTGTTTAAATGTTCACCAAAAATGAAATTGGATTTATATATAATAACATGACTTTCTCTTTGAATAACTGGAAAACAGCTGATCCCTTCCACAAGCAAGGAATTTCTGTYGTGGATTGAAAACCAGGAGAGYGCGTAKAGTGTCTCCTAGCAGATGATGAGAKCCACTGGAAAGAACAAATAAAAACTTAGACTGTTGTTCTGTATGCTACTGAATACTTGCATGGGCTTTGAGAGGGAGAGCTTACTACTTGTTTTTAAATAGTTYTAACTTTTGGAGCTTGAATGTAGGAAAAATCTGCTGATAGGCTAGAAAATGAAGGTGGCTGTTGTATTAAGAGTCCTGGCATGCAAGTTATTGGAGAATGGGAAGTGCTGCTGCTCTGTGCTGCTGCTGACACCTGCTGTAACGGACCCCCCATTAGCTGCTGAACAGTGATACGGGCACATTCCCTCTTGTTAYATGTACAGGTGGATGCTATCTAGGCAAAAATATTCAGGAATGCCTGTCATGGCTGATGCAGKCTTTCCAGTAAGTGCAATGTTTGCATCCAATCTGCCCAACTGGTAGCTGTTGCTGTGCTAGCTTTATAAGAAGTGTTCTTCTGGGAATGAGCGCACAGCTTATTGCAGAAGTACCTCCAGTTCTTTGAGTTTGACTGTCCTGACCAGTATATTTAAACAAACAAACAAAAAAACCCACTCGGAAAACTTACCCTTAACTTTGCACGCTCTAAACTTGGCACACTCTGAAACTGAGRCTTAGCAACTTTGTTAATGTAGCTTCTATACTAGATGATCTATGGAATAATAACCACGTGTCAGTGAAGTAATTGGCCAGTGTCCTGCAAAAACACTGCGAAGTTTGACTAAGTGCAGGCTGGGGGTAGGAGGGAAAGCCAACACCCTTGTTGCAGTCCTTGCTGAATCCTAAGTTCAGGGAACTTAAAGGAGAGTGGAGTCCTGTTCAGTTAACTGGAAGTGGCAAGTGGTGCAATGCCTGAGAATTTTTATCCTTCAAGGGGAAAACTAAATTTACCTTCTCAAGTGTCCAGAATCTTCCACTTCTGGAGTCCCATGCATGCCTGTATTTTGCTCTGGGTAGCTGTGTACAGACCTTGACAAATAAATTCATCATGCAACTTTCTGTACAGTAGTTATCTTAGCAGTACCCACCTACCCTGTGTTAAAGACAGAGCTGAGTTTTATTGAACTCAGTAAGACTTAGCTGGGGCTCCTCAACTATTTTTTTCTTCTTCCCACAGCTGACAGCTCAGTAAGTCTTAATAGTAAACACATGTACGCACACTTTATCTACATTGCACATTTTATCTGTGTATGCACACTTGAAGTCTTGCCCAAAGGAGCTCTGCCCTAATGGATCCCCTGTCCGAATCCTAGTGAGAGCCGTTGATGGAGGTGAGCCCTGAGCAGGAGGCACACACTGACCTGCATCTCTTCTCTCCCTGTGCAGTGGGTCATCATCGAACAGGGATGCTACACGTACTCCTTGGTGGTAGTGCCCCTCTATGACACACTGGGAAGTGAAGCTATTACTTACATTGTGAACAAAGGTAGGATGTTCTCGGTAGATTTGCAGCTACGTGTGTGAGGGCAGAGCTGGCCGAGGGCAGAACTCTGGTCTTCCTCAGACTAGAAGAGTCCTATAGTACCAAATGCTGAAATATGGATCTAGTCTAAAATCAATCTGTCTTTCTAATATTGTTGTTGTTCTTACTCAGCTGACTTGTCATTGGTTTTCTGTGACAAACCCGACAAGGCCAAGCTTCTGCTAACCAGTGTGGAAAAGGGGGAAACTCCAGTCCTCAACACCATCGTTATCATGGAGCCTTTTGGCATAGATCTTGTGGAACGTGGCAAAAAGTGTGGGGTGGAAGTCTTCAGCATGGGACAAATAGTGGTAAGTACACTTAACCTGCTTTACTACTTTCATCTCCTTTACTTTGCATAAATTTACCGGTCTRGTTTCAACACTCTGGAACACAATGTGGTAGTTTCAGAATACTTGAACTTCAAGAGGTAGCTACACCAAGCCTTTTAAAAAGATACTTTTAAAGAAGGAAAACAACTTGTTAGTGGCATTTCATAGTGTGCAAAATGTAAACCCATGCTTGCCAGGTTAGTGGTGCAAAAACTTATTAACATGGTTCAGAGAACATAAGATCTGGGCATTGCCTTGTCTATGCAAAGCAGTAGGAAATGATAATCACACAGAGCAATGCTGATAATGCTTCAAAAATACTGATTTCAATTAGAATCTCTGTAGGTCTTGGTTTGTAGTAAATTGCTATCTTGCTCCGTGCTGAACCTGCAGAAAAATTCTGGAGGGAGATGGAGAATATTAGTCTATTTTTCCAACATTAGCCTGCGGTAATTTAAGGCAGTGTGACTTCTGGGTTTTGCCTTGCTACTTAGTATTCAAGGGCTTATAGTTGTGCTTGGGGTGATCTTGTCTGCATGGACCTTTTGTTGCAGTTTTGTTCCTGGAGAAATCGGTCTTGGCTGTAAACTGCATGATGCATGCTTTATTGTGAAATTATGAAACGGGGTTTAGCCTGGTTCCAACTTGAATTCTTGTCAAGACTTGACTCACTGAGACTTTAGCACTTCCAAACAGCCATGCTTGAGTTCTGCAGGTGTCTTAGTAACTGCCCGGAATTGCTAAATTTCATTGAACTTTAGTAAACTTGTTTTCACAGCAGTTTTCTGTGTTAATGGAGCCACCTTCTGGTAAGGAGAAAAAAATGCCAGCATAGCTTGTAAAAGAGAGTTAATTGTGTCTCAGTTAACCTGCCTCAGCCAGGCTGAAATGAGCTAGAGATACTATGCAGAATAAATGACTTGTACAGTGCTGTGTTAGACTGAAAGAAGGGTTGGATTAGAGTTGGATGCTTAAAATTGGATGCTTAAAATTAGATGCTTAGGGGATTTTTTTTCAGAAGTACTTTGTAGTTCTGACTTATAATTGTATAGGTAACTCCAGCACTTCCTAGTGGCCCCTGGAACATGGATGCTGCTGTTTCCACAGACAGCGGTGTTGTCATACAGGCACACTTTTGTGCAATGGCATAGTGTCAAAAAGCCAGACCTCTAGGCATGGGCACGTTAGCTGTTTTTCTGGTATTTGCTTCCTGCCCCTGCATTGGATCGTAGTGATAAATCTCTTCAGCTAACCAAGCTAAAGCAATGCTAGGGCTGGTAAAGGAATGTGCACTTGGAATGTAAGGGCAGTGAGCAAGTGATGTATCTGCCCTCAAAGGGTGCTTCCAAACCTCTGCTCAGCAAAAGGAGCATCTTGTGTAAGTTTCTAACTAGAACTGTTTCTAATGCTAAATAAGCATGAGTTTAGGAAGTCTAGACTTTAAGTCTAGACTCATCATCTCATCATCATCATCAATACTACTCATCATCAATAATACTAAGCTCATGGTTTCAAAACTTTCCTGTTAATTGTAATGTCTTCTGCTGGTAAAAAGATATATTTGGTATTTGCTTCTCTGAAGATCTGTGGCATCCTTAATGGTTTAGCCTAAATTATGGTAAGGAGGGAAAAAGAAGGAAGGGAGGCCTAGGGGAAAGAGAACTTCTTTTGCACTGAAGAGTGCAGAACATATAGACCACCAAGGACCTCTCACTGCAAGCTTAGGTCTTTGCCCTCACAAGCAGTGAAGGGCCTATTAAAATGAGTATTGCTTCATCTAGTCCAAGACTGTCAGTAGCACGTGTCTTCTGTTTGTTATGACTTGTCATGGTACTGCTTGCTCTTGAGCTTCTTTTATAAATTAGTTTATTGGGGAAAAAATCGAAATGCATATGTGTGTTAGACTAGTTAGCACCTCTGTATTTGAGGATCACACTAATTCTTCTGTTCTATTGCGTCTTTTAAAACTTGCTTTAAAATCTTCACAAGACTTTTTAGAGTTAAAATGCCATAGCAGTCTAAACAATAAAACATTATACTGCTTGATAACATCTTGTCTGATAAAGCAAACAACAGTGCTTTTATGTCTAAACAGTCTTTCTTCCCTTCTCCCTTCTGTAGGAGCTGGGAAGAGCACACAGGCAAAAACCTATGGTAAGTATGAAACTAGTTCAATCAGTTTAATGCGAGTTGGGTAGCACTCTGTAGACCAACCTAGCAAATCTACCTGTCTCCTATAGCTCAAGGTAACACTAGTACTTCAGTGTTTTATCCAGGAAAATCTTTTTCCTTGCTATCTTAACCATACTAATACTTTCTTAACTTTCATAGCCTCCAAAGCCAGAAGATCTAGCAGTGATCTGTTTCACCAGTGGAACGACAGGTACTCCTCATTACATTATGCAGAATTTATTATCCTGTATGTGCAAAACTAATGCAGAAGCAATCCTACTTTTTTCAAGACTCCCCTCTGCTGCTGCATCTTTTTGGCAAGTAGTAGCTGGGGAAGTTCTATGGTAAGACTCCCTTTGACTTTTCCCATTGATCAATAAAGAGTTGCAATGTCTTGAAGTGTGGGGACATTTTTTGTGCTCAGAAATAGGTGCTGAAACTATTTCCATTATGATAGGGGTCCTGGATTGTATCTCAGACTTACAGTTTAAAAATAAATAAATAATGAAAGAGCAGGCTCTGTTTCTTTGCTCTTATGCAATATGCAGCTTACTGTAGAACTGAAAGAGAAAAGTACTTAGATAAGAATCAAATTTCAAGTGTGGGACAGGATCCAACAGTGGAGAGAGCATTGGAAAAAGCACAACATTAGTTATATATTTAAAGTAGTGCCAAGTAGAGAAGAGTATCCTCGTTCGATAGATGAATCTTCACAGAAGTAATTAATTTTGGATTACAGAATTTCATTCAAGAGAGATGGTGGTTTCTTAAAGATTTGGTCTCACAAATAAAATGACTTCAACATACCCACACTATTACAAGTTATGAGCATATATATATGTGTATATTTTGCAAACGTGTTAGCCTATTTTCTGTGTTTGTATCGTACATGAAGAAAGGTGGTGTTATCTGAAAAGGGACTTGGTGATTGATGAAATGTGTTTGTTTAGTCTTACCTCTGCTTGATAATTTTGAGGATCTCACTGTTTCATCCTGATGTGCTTCCTCCCCAGGAAACCCCAAAGGAGCTATGATAACTCATCAAAATATAGTCAGCAATACTTCAGCTTTTGTGAAAGCTACAGAGGTAAACTGCAAGGTTAACATTGTGGATTTGTACCGTGTATAATTTAAAATGAGAGGAAGTATCTCAGGAGTAAAAAAGACATTGTGATCTCACTAACTTTTTGTCTTAACACAGTCAGATCCAAATGAAAATGAAACCTGACAACAAGTCAAGTACTATGTTGGTACTAGTTCTTAATCGTCTTTTATTTGAGGCCCTTTTTTATTTATTTCTTTGGAAGATATGTGAGAAGTTGCATAGTGATTCATGTTAAATTTGAAAGATTTCTGTGTATGTATGTTTGTTTCATTTTTAATGCCCTCACATGTAAGAATGGATAAAGCTCTAAGTTTTAGATTTGCTTGCATAGATGTTATTGGTTCCTTCTCTCRACATGGGCAACCTTCCTAGTCTCTTTTGCATGCAGCTCCTTCTGGACTAGAAATGGTTGCATGGGAATATAGGGCTGTGCACAGACCAGCATGGCTCTTGGGGATGCTTTTGCTTGCTTCTGCCCAAGCCAGCATTGCTGCCTATCACTGGTGTGGCCCAACCTGGGAACTTGTAATCAGCGCTGCCGTGGGCAGTGTGGATGTCCCCAAAGCTGGGCCGGGGAGTAACATTCAGGCCATTCCTCTGAAGCTGTATGGAAAAGGTCCAGAATAAAGTAATTCTACTGCTGCTGAAGTCTACTTCGCTAAGTCCAAAACACTGTGTTGGCTTCAGCTGTAGGTCTTGCATGGTGCTACCTTGCTGGGGAGCTATTGGCAGAGCACTGTTTGCTCCCTTGGCCCCAAGGCCTTGCTGCTTAAGTGTGATAATCCAGGAGCATGGAGAGAAAAGCAGGATTTCTTTCTGGCATGCCTAGGGTTTGGCCTGATGTTACAGGAATTCTGATGGGAATATGCATTGCGTTCTGTCATAGTCATAGTATCTGTCAGTAATGCAAGCTCTCTGTCAGAGGCAACATACTCTGTTGTTCTGCTTTAAGATTGGGGAGGAGATATGTATTTTGATTCCTTAAATACTTTTAATACTTGTGTGAATGTGTGAGAAGAATAACTGAACATGTTGATACTTAGGACAGACTTTTAGTTTACAGCAGGCTGCTAAAGTTCATTCTTAGGCTGACTCTGAAGACAATTCCAAGAYCAAACAAAACCAGATGCTGTTAAAAATGTAACCATATTGTTTTGCCATAAAATTTGCATATGGAATCAGGTTAAGATAATAGTCTTGTGGTTAGATTGTAATATGCTCTTGCTATAAATGTGACAGCCTGACTCTTGCAGCAAACTCGACAAAGAAACTTCTGACCTAAGATGACCTAGGTTGTGATATTGTATTCTTAAGGCGTACTACAACTTTAAATTTCCTTTACACAATGTCTATAATGGRTTTTTCTATGGCTTCTTTCAAACTGTTTCTATGCATAACCTTACAAATGATAAATTGTAATAAGCTGAATCATTACTATACTTGTCTCTAACAAATGACTACGATTTCTGTAATGTCTGTTTACAACAGTGACTTCTAACTCRTGTAATATTTCTTATGAAAGAAAAACAAAATGTGGTTTCATTACAGGTAAAGCTGAAGAGCTAAGGTGTCTGATTACACATTACTGCATTTAATTAGCAATAATTAAATTTAATTCTCATTAATTCTCTTTTGCTCAACACTCTTACTTTCAGAAAGTATTCATACCTTCCACTGATGACACTCTGATCTCATTCCTGCCCTTGGCTCATATGTTTGAAAGAATTGTTGAGGTAGGCATCAACTTGTTCTACAGAACTCCTGAAATTTATTTTTTCTTGCAGAATGCATTGTTATTGGGTCCCAGTGACACACACTATTCCTTTTTGCCTCTTGCACATATGTTTGAAAGGTTGGTTGAGGTAAGGCTCAGGAAAGCAATATCCTATAAACAGTGAGTACTAGACAACTTTCTATCATGCAGTTAATAAGAAACCCTTTAAAAAAAGGGAGGGGTAGATTTTTGTCTTAGTGGAGTGTAGGGCTTTTCTCTTTTGTGCTTTATCAGTCATAGTTGCGATGGGTTTACGGTTGGACTGGRTCTTGAAGGTCTTTTTTAACCATAATAATTCTACAACTAGATGATTTGCTTGTCTGTGGTGTCRGACACCCTTCAGGTGCCCTTCTCTGCTGCCCAAAGAAAATGGATGGTAATGGCTCTGAAGTCTCTTTGATAGTTTATTTTACCTTTTGGCACAACTTGGGACTCCCTTTTGGAGGATGAGAGATCTCAGGGCAGTCTTCACTATGGGCTCAAAGTTGTTTATTGAGTTAGCCCTAGGCAGGTAGGGCTCCTGAAGGCAGGTGTGTGTGCTGGAACTGGATACATCCCAATTGAGGGGGAAAAAAAAACATGCACAAATGCAGAGAGATGCAAAGTCAGATGTTGAGCCCCATGATTTCAGCTTGAAATCCTGAACTTTCTGCTGAGCAGGCTAGGTCAACAKGTGCCTTTGTATTTTTATTTACATGCATGCTGGCACACATGTGCATATTTGTTATGAAGACTGGGAATAGGTATGACCTGCGGTATACAGTTGCCCTTAAACTTTCAGCACTGTTTTCCTGGRAACCTGGACACCAGTTAGGCTTTGGTGCCTGTTCTGTTGATTTCTATCTTGCATCAAAAGGTGCAAGCTCACTTTTGGATAACAGCTCTGCTCTTGGTCATGCAATAGTAACAGGAAGGAAATTTGTGCTCTAAAAGGTAAAGTGAGGAGCAGAGGGTTTGTTCTCACTATTCGTTTGTTTGTGTTCCTGATGAGAGAGGTGTTTACGCAAAAAGCTTTCAGTCTCTAGGGGAAACAATTCTTTTACTGTTGGGGGTAGGTATGAACAGAGAGCCTGTGAGAAGTTGTCTTTTAAGCCTGCCGCTTGCTAATGCTGCAAAGTTAGTGGTCTCTCATTGCTGCCTCCTGAGGAAGCTGGAAGGTGAAAGAAAGTGTCAGGCCATGTGCCTGTCCCACCAAGGACAGGCAGATTCTGTTTATTCAGTTTGAATCGGTGCATTTGCTCCTTTTAGTAGATGGTGACACAGTGTGCATGGAGAAGAAAAGGAAGTCTTGAACAAGTCTTCTGCATGCAAAGCACAACAATGGATGGCAGGAAATGGAGAGGTGTTATGGGAAAGGGAAGGAAAACAAATTGGGCAGGTAGAGAAGCACAGGAAGTGTAGGGATGTTGTGTATGGGAGGAAGGAAAAAACTCAGTATGTAGATCCAGAGGTGAGGGAAGACCCCATAGAGAATGTGGACCAAGACAAGATGAAGCCTTCCTCCTTTGGGTGTAGGTCTGAAGTGATGCAGAAATAAGCAGAGATCAAACTCTCCCAAAGAGTGTTTGGGACACTGACGGCAAATTCTTTGCTAATGTCAATCACGTTGTGAAACGGGAAGGAAACTGAAATTGCACAAACAAAATTCCTGCTGGACCAGTACTAGCATGTGCTGACTTCAGTGCAGAATTTCTTGCTGTATATAGCAGGAAACAAAGTTGTGGTATGMTAATAAGCTTGTTAAATGAGCTTTTAAAATAAAGAAGTCTTGTTTTTCAGTCTTCGCTACCTCCAGGTTACTGACATGGCCTTATTTGTCAGCTGCCTTTTCAGATAAAGGCTTTTGTACCGTATCTGGTTATATCAACGTCCTTGGCCTGTGTACAGCGGGCATGTGTGGCTGTTTGAGCTCTCCTGTCCCACTCTGCAGCCTGCGATTGCTGTAGAACTTGTTCAGATGCTGTGGGGATTTAAGGTGGAGCCTGCACAGGCCACCCCACTTAGGGCTGTCATACACAGATATAGGTAGAAGAAATTATACGTACCATTTTCACAGGCGTTTTCCTTATTTCTAACAGTGTGTGGTTCTGTGCCACGGAGCTCGGATAGGATTCTTCCAAGGGGACATCAGACTACTTATGGATGACCTAAAAACACTGCAGCCAACTGTATTTCCTGTAGTACCGCGACTGTTGAACAGAATGTTTGACAAGGTAAGTCTCAAGGTGTGAGCCTAGAGTTAGGCAAGGTTTTAACAGATCTTTCTGAAATCTGTGCTGACATGGTAGAAGTAACTGTGCTCAGGGATGTTTGATCAGCATGCTGACAAACTGCTCTCTCCCTTTCTAAACAGGCCTGGAAGTATAGGAAATAGTGTTTGGTTGTATTACAGCACTACCAGGCAGCAAATCCTAGTTAGAGAAGGCAAACTAGGAGACTTGGCTTTTGTCCAGCTTTATTACTGACCTAAAGCRTTGCTCTGAGCAAGCTATTTAAGCCCAGTCTACACCATGACCATGGTGCTTAGTGTTTGCATGTCACGCTTTTAGCAYCTGACTCATGGAGTGGAATTTGGAAAACCAGGTCAGGTGTTTGCCTGTGCTCTAATGGCCATGCACAAGTTTCCTATGCAGGAGCCAACCCATGTAGCAGGGAGAGCTGAAGCAGCCAGGCCGGGGTGCTGGGGAGAGCGTGTGGGAGCAGCCCTGCATTCAGCTGTGCTGTCTGCCAGCTGCCACGAACTGGGTCATCTGAGCGGGGAGCTGAAAACCCCATTCTCTTCTTTGGATTTAAGGCTTTAAATTATCCCTTTATATATGGAAGACTGACTAATCTTAGGACATGGCCAGAATAGTTGGGAGGATACCGCTAGTACTCCTGGTTGCTAAAGAAAGAGCAGGCCTGTCCTATGGCCCCTGGAGTGTCCTGACGGTGAGGCTAGAGGTGAGGATCAGGCAAGGACTTTGCCTGTTAGAAGAAGTATTTGGAAGCAGCAAGTAGCATGATACTTGTTGTGCTTGGCCCAGAACAAATAGCATGAGTGATCCATTTGGAGAGGACAGAATTCTGATACCTGCCTGTTCATCTAAAGGGCTTCCAACTTASCGAATGGTGGGTATTTGGCTGTCTGTTTCTACAGCACCAAACTTGGGACTGTCCTCTCCTCTTTTTGCACATTTTTGGCACAAGTTCAACCCCACTGGCCTTGCACTAACTTGGCATGTGAAGCTCAAATGTGGGAATTTGAGGTGGGGCCCCCAGTAATGTTGAGGGGAGCTGCTGGGTCTGCCCTAAAGTGAATGTGCTAATGTGTCATCTGTCTCTGCTCTGTGGCTTTTGGTGAGCTGCTAACTGTAAGAAAACTTTCAGAAGTGATCTGAAAAGCAAGTTTATATATGCTAGTCAAATCTGTGCTTGAAATTTCTGAAGGCATATGCATCTCCTTGGGAAAACTTACCCAGTAAAACCAGTAATTTACCCATAATGATTATTTAATTTACCTGTTTCACTCAAGAGTCTCTAGGCATGTTACTGTAAGAAAAAGGGAATGATAGTCTGAGTCTTCTAATGCAAGATCATTCTTGTTAATAGATTTTTGGACAGGCAAATACATCACTGAAGAGGTGGATGCTGGATTTTGCTTCAAAGAGGAAAGAAGCAGAACTCAGAAGTGGTATAATAAGAAATAACAGTTTCTGGGATAAATTTATCTTCCGCAAAATACAGGTATGCTTGAAAGTCTCTCTGCTTGCCTACTAAGAACCTTTWAGTTACAGGTATTGGAAGAGGGATAACTTTATTTGGAGGTAGTGATTATTCTGTGAACAAACCTTCAAATATTCTTCCTTTATGGCACAGAACAGCTGAGTGACATGTAATTTTTACAGTGCAACTGTGAAGCATCACCATTAGATCCCATCTAGTTAGAGTTTATTGCCTCAGTTTGCAATAGCTGAATCTGATGAGTGGTTGTAAGATGGCATGCGCTTGCCATAAGATACAGGCTCTGACGAAAGACTGTCTGGCTATGCAGAATAAAGCTACAAACASTCTTTTGTTTTTCTACTTTAATCTTTCAGTTTCTTTGTTCTACTAATCTGCTACTTGTAATAGGGAAGTTATTTGGAAACAGCCTAGTTCTTCCTTATATTACTCCTTTCAAAAGTAAATATTGTCTTTCTGAAAGAGGTCAATAAGTTAAGTAACATTTACGTAAGCTGTATGTTACTTAGTGCCACCTGTTGCCCCCTAACAATTTACTGGTAGTAAATTGTAAGCAAGCCTGGTATTCTGCAAGGTGTTCACTTGACATAACCCTAATGTTGGTTGCACAACATACCCCTGTGGATGACTCTTACAGTGTCCGGGATGTATGAGAAGTAGGTACAAGATGGATTTATACTATGACTGCTTTAAGTACAAACCTGTTGTGGTGGGGCCATGACTTATGTTCTTTAGACTTCTGTCTGAATCCATGGTATAGCAACATCATGGTAGCATTTGTAGGTACTGCATATTAGAGATATTATTTCTTCCAGCTACTATGAGGGTAAAACTCCAACTTGCTATAGAATACTATACTGTAACTTCTAATATTTCTGGGTGGTGTTTGTAGGTGAGTAGTGGTTGGGGGTGGGAGAGAAGACTCTGGAAACCTCTCTCTAAAATGCTTTTGGTGTCCACAGTATCTTGTGTCTGTTGTAGGCAAGTTTGGGAGGAAAAGTAAGGCTGATGGTCACGGGAGCAGCACCTGTATCTGCAAGTGTCCTGACCTTCCTAAGAACAGCTCTTGGTTGTCAGGTGAGTTTCCTGGCTTTAACTCAGAACATACAGATTCCAGTAACTGATTCAAGCTTTGTAATCAGACCACATTTCTAGTGATCTRATTACACAGATAACTATTCTTAGCATTCTCTTTGGAAGCTACAAGTGCATATTTACAAACTGAATTCCTTCAGAGTTTGTCTCCCAAAGGCTTTGTGATACTGAAGTAATCAACCAAACTGTCTTAAGGGAAAGATTGTTTGGTTTGCTATAATCTTTAATGTTTTTGCATAAACTGCTTTTCTTGACAAATATTCTTCAAAGTATATACTTTCTGAGGTAAAAATCTTAAATTTTTGCAGAGAATGGAACAAATATAATAAACTTCAGGGACTGGAGACAAATGTGATATGGTAAACTTCAAGGACTGGAAACACTAAAATGCCCCAACTTTTAAATATATGGGGCTGCTGTGACTTTGTTTTTCACTTCTGTGTTGTTGTAGCGGTGAATGCTTAGCACATAAAGGGGAATTCTGTCATACAGATCTGTGGTGAGATGTAGGGATATTATTCTTGACTGCCTTGGACAAACCTGCCATTGCTAGTGTTTATGTTCTCATTATCTTAATGTTTCTTCCTGTGGAATTCTCCTTGCTGGTTTCAAGTTTAGTCTGTGCAGGTGTAATTTATGTACATGAATGGAGTGAAATGTTAAGTAAATATCAACTGGAGGTGGAATAAGAGCCCTTGAAATTATGTATTTTAATAAGGCTGTTTGTAAGATGGTGATAATTGTTTTTATAGAAGATGCTGAGATCTATGTTAAATTGGGATTTAGAGTATTTACTTCAGATTTACTGAGTAGAAACATAAGTAAAATGCTGATTTTAATGACCAAAAAAATAAAGTGAGAAACTTAAGCTTTTGGCTTCACTTCCTAGTTTTACGAAGGTTACGGACAGACTGAATGTACAGCTGGATGTTCACTGTCACTGCCTGGTGACTGGACTGCAGGTATGGAGTCCTGTGGTCTGCATGTCTGTGAAGTGTCGGGATGCTGATCACATCGTTTCGTTTTCCTTGTGACTATCATAAAGCATAAGAAAGGGATTTTTTCATTTGGAAAAGATCTCTTGATGTCCCAACTGCTAAATAGCTAGGAATGCCAAACAATCCAAATTTTTCATGGAGCTTGTTAGTTGACATAGACGTAGAAGAGTTCATAGTACTAAGCTGATGCCATTCTTRGAGAATGGGGATCTGCTGTGTATAAATATAGCTGGAAACATAAATATAGTTGGACATAACATAAACATAGTTGGAAACATAAATGGCTTCTCTTTTGTGTCCGAGCAGTCTATGTTTCTCACAGCTGTTGCACCTCTAGCTCCTTACCTATAATCCTAATGTGGAGAGCTATATTGAGAGTTCTGCTAGTGAAGTCCCTCAATAGAGGGAGGTTCATAACAGTAAACAGACACAGGGTTCAGAAGCTGATAATGTTCTAGAGAACTTATAATTCAGTACTAAGAAAATAAAATCATATTGTATTTATATAATGTGTTATTCAGAAGGAACATTTCCTTCTTTTGGGTAACTTATATCAATAAACTGTTTACATAGCTAAGGACCTGGCCAAAAGCTCATTGAGGCTATTGAACACTTCCTCTGTTTAACAGGTCATGTTGGAGCACCGATGCCATGTAATATCATAAARCTTGTCGATGTAGAAGAAATGAATTATTTGGCTGCCAAAGGAGAGGGTGAGGTGAGTGATTTCTAAAGGTCGATAGAAGCCACTTACATGTTGGAAGCTTTCTTTTTAGTTCATGAAATAACAAGTCACTGCTTCAGTAAAACTGGCTTGCAGCCAATAATCTGGGCTGCAGATATGCATGTCTTTCATGTAGGCAATCCAAGGAAGCAAAGCAGACCGCTAGTTACTCGGTTTAAAAATTAAGCAGGGTAACGCTCTAATGCTGTAAACTTTTGTGGTGGAGGGGGCGGGGTGGGAAGAGAAGAAACTTGCTAGGATGATTTATAGAAATACAAGACTGGAAGGAATGCTTTTATCTAACTGTGTTTGCAGCTAAAGCTAAACTCTTGCAAAAATCAGCATATTGGAAGGGAAGAGGTCTACTGTGGGGTAGCAAGTTCTTCTGCATCAGCAGTTGTGTGATGAACATGTCCTGTTGCACACGGAGGTTGGAGGCCTCAGTTCAGCAGAGCTGTGTCCTACTGCCTGTGTCCAGCAGCGGGCACTGGTGGCGCCTCCATCCCGCTGTCCTGGTGCCAAGGAACAAGCGATGCCCGAGCTTGGCAGCCCATCCACCCGGGAGCGCAGGCAGTCCGGGCTGAGGGGTGAGGCACCCTCAAGGAGCGCGGAAAGAAACCAAGAATCCACCAAGGGGCTTCCTGCTCACATGGGGCAACTGCCTGCAGGTGCCTCTGCACAAAACCAACGCAGATGTGGCACAGGCTTTGAGAACCCAGTTTTATATGCAATGCTATGTGCCCTCTTTAGATATTTTGTCCAGGTATAGCTATAAACAGCCACAGGAAGCAGCCACAAACTGAAGCACTAAAAGTTATAAGAAATAGTTAAATATTTTTTTAAAAAAAAACACTTTTCTTAAGGTTTCTTTTATACTTACTGTGAAAGCTTGCTGAATTGGGAGTTGCTTGGAATTTAATTAAGTATATTAATCCCTTAAAATTCTCAGATGCTATAATTCAGTCATTTACTCCTAAAACCACCATGCAAACTCTTCTGGATCTAACAAATGCAGGTGTCTTAACCTATTTCACTGCACTTAGTCCTTAGCTGTAAACTGGCGCTCATTCACCTTTGCCTAAGATAGATTTATATCCTYTTCTGTCTGCTCTTCAGCTGGATCAGATATAGTTTTGGGGTCTCCTTAAAGTTGTTTACTTGGTAGGCAAATCCTGACAACTCTGCTTTGACTACTATTGTACTTTGGGATAACAAACAAGTGCATGTTTTTCTCATAGCCATCTTTCCATTAATGTTGCTGCTGCTTACAAAAGCCAAACCAAAAATGTTCCCTGAGAGGTGGTATTTCTGGGTATCTGCAGAGTTGATAAATGCAGTTTATTCAAATAGCAAGAAAGAACATTCCTACTAGATGGAAAGATGCTTCCACTTGCTTTTTATTATATTTCATTCGTGGAAATATTATGTCTCAAGCATGAACAGAGATTTCAGCACTGATGTATAAACTGCATTTGGTCTTTTTTTGTGATCGACTGAGGAATACTGAGATCTAACGGARAAAGGATTTCATGCAAATAGTGATCATGAATTTCACTTCCTAGTAGCATGAACTAACCAAGTGTTTTTTTTTAAGGTGTGTGTGAAAGGGCCAAACGTCTTTTGTGGTTATTTGAAAGATCCAGAGAAAACAGCAGAGGCTATCGACAAAGACGGCTGGCTTCACACAGGAGATATTGGGAAATGGCTACCTGTAAGTGACCTTGGGTAACTGAAGTCTATTTTGGTAGTTGTTGCTAACTTAACAAGTGAAGCCACCTATTTGGTATTAAAAATAACTAACTGGGGCAAGGATGGTAAGTCTAGGAGGAGGATAGCACTTAAAACTGGTACTGTTATATATAAAACAAYGTGAAGGATCCAGGGCCATTTATTCACACAAGTTGTTTATTCATAAAACAGTAAAATACTGTTAGAGCCAGAGCCCTGTAAAACTAATAGGAGAAGAAAATAGACACTGGGCACATCGAGCTTCTGGTGTGTTGCATGATCTGCCACAGAGTGCTTAAGCTGTATAGGCCAGTTACGGTGTGAGGTGCCCCTATTGAGTAGAAATTATTTCTGCCAACAGAATGGTACACTGAAGATCATTGACCGGAAAAAACACATATTTAAACTGGCCCAGGGAGAGTACATAGCACCAGAGAAAATAGAGAACGTGTATCTGAGAAGTGAACCTCTTGCTCAGGTGTTTGTCCACGGAGAGAGCCTGCAGGTAAGTTTTTTCTGGGTAATTTTCTAATGAGTGCAAGAGGAGGCTGCAGAAAAGCCTTCCTTGCCTCTCTCTGCCCRCTGCAAAATTCTGTGGGATTGGAATCTTACTTTTAACTAAGACTTCTAAAATTTAGCTAACATTTTGGCTTCAAATCCAGCCTGGACACCACAGGCTATGTTTGTGGATTTGGTTTCAGACAAAGCAATGGAGCTAGATTAATTTAGTTTTAAGCATTAATTGCAATATGTAAATTGCTAAGAGCATCTGGGGAAATTCAGAAAACACTTTGTTCACGTTTTTGTAAGCCTAAATTAAAACATAGGTCTTAAGTCTCTTAAGCAGAGGCTTTTAAACTGAAGTCTTCTTTTGAGGCAGTAGAAAGCTGCTGATTTTACAGTAAGAGCTGCCTTTAGAGTGACTAGTAAAAAGTGGACAGGAATTCCATTTAATGTTTAAAAAAAAAAATTGACAAAATATTTTTTTTAGGCCTTCTTAATAGCTATTGTGGTGCCCGATCCAGAGACTTTGAGCATTTGGGCCAAGAAAAGGGGATTTGAAGGTTCATATGAAGAGCTATGCAAAAACAAGGTGGGTCATATCTACTGAGGCAGTTAATTATTCTGCTTGAGCTTTTTCAGGATCTACAATGTGCTATCTTTCTGTATCCACAGGACCTCAAAAAACTCATTCTGGAAGACATGGTGAGAATTGGGAAAGAATCTGGCTTGAAATCATTTGAACAGGTGAGATGTTTAGAAAATAGTGTTCCGTTCTTATCGGCATTTCAAAACAACAATATAATCCAAATCTCAAAACTGATTTTAATAAGCATTGGGGAAGCTTTTCCATAAGGGGTTCTGTTATGATGTCTGARCATTTCCTACTCCTTTCCTACTCCCTTTTAGCCTTTTCAAAGGGTATACTTTGGCTAGTAACCATTTATTTTCCAGGTCAAAGACATTGCCCTACATGCAGAAATGTTTTCCATTGAAAATGGCCTGCTGACACCAACACTGAAGGCCAAGAGACCAGAACTACGAAAATATTTCAAGTCACAGATAGATGAACTCTATGCTAATGCCAAAATGTAACTGAGAATGGATCGAGGAAAGTGGCACACATCTGATGTCTACTGTTGACCTTCATATCTGTAATTTGACTACAGCAAAYATAAGGAAGGAAACTGTGCAATCATTAACTTGTACAATAATGGGTACTTGCCATAGGAACATTGAAGAAATGGAACACTGCCTTACTGTCAAGTTGTGTTGCATATTGTTTTTATGGTGACCTACAATTTCCAAAAAGAGCCTTAACTATAAATGGTAACTATGTGTAAGTTATTTAAGATTTACTTGGCCAAAAATGGGACTCTCCTTAACCAAGGAGCTAAGGTATTCTTTTATTATTATTGCCAGCATGTTTGCTGTCTGCARTGTATCTTGCGGTTGTCAAGTCCAAACGGATTTGGTAGGTTTGAAAACACCTCTAAGTATCTTGTACCCTGGGAAGGAGGAGTTAGTCTGCCAAAACACCGTTGTATGGSTGGTATCACATCTTGCATTAGCCCGAATACTAACTGGGACAAGGTGTCAGAGTGACTTTCTCCCTTTTGTGYCCCCAGCCACGAGTTTTGAGGCTTACTTTTGTAAGGTAGAAGTTGGAACTTCGCTCAAAAGAGACAGGTTCTTGCAAGTTCTCCGGAGTAAGTCTGCATTGGGTTTTCCTGCACTAGAAGTGTGGATGCAGTTAATTAAGCGATGCAGCCTTTGCTACATTAACACAGTTCCAGAGAGATGCCAGCCCCGTAACTGAACAGATCCTAACTCTGGCAAGAAAACTAGAGATCTAAAAATAAACCATTCAAGAGGATGGGCTATGCTAACAGTCAGGTAAACATGCACCAGGTCTAGCCACTATTCCCCTGCAATGAACATACATTTAAATTGTGTTGTTTTAAATGTGTCAGGTTCTYTATAAGCAGAATAGTTTCTGATGCAACCTGAGGTTTTCTGTGCATAATGAGCCACTGAGGGTTCTTCAATGAAATGGGCCAGGTGGAATGTCTGTTTCTGCCTGGTGCTTTTACAGCAATTGGAAGCAATTAAAAAAATGCTGATGGAATTGTGTGGTGCAGGATCGTGATTTGTTCAGGGATTAAAGACTAAATTCCCAGATTAAATATAAAATTACTAGTCTACCTTTTGTTTGAGAATCAGCAGAAATAAGCCTTATTACAGCATAAGTCTATCTTTAACAGATTTGGGTTTTGCATTAGCATTCATTGCTGTTTTTTGAAAACATGGATATATGTAAAATACAAGCACAACAAGGTTTGCACTAAGATTTGTGTGTGATTGTAATGCACTACTCTGTAGCGTAATTTCATACATGTGTGCAATTAAGGTACACAAATCCCAGTCAACTGTTAGAGCAGTAGTTTTACATTGGAATTCAAATGTTTGCTTAGTGTTGGCTATTTCTATGTTTTATAAAACCAAAACAATTTTCAAAACCAATGAAGGAAACCAAAATAAATATTTCTGCATTTCAACTTGGTGCTGTGTTTTCCTTATGAAGGAAAGGTACTGCTGACTAACAACCTGAGGTATGACTTGGTAGCTGACAAGCAAGCTGTAAAACTCCACTACTACAAACATGCCCCTTTATACAGGATACGTACTGGTGGTTGTCATTTTACATTTGAAAGATAACAAAGATAACGTTCTGCTTTGATCTGATATTTATGTATGAATTCATGGCCAATGTTGGTCAGAAAGGGATATTGTATGTAGCCTGCTTCATCAGTGTTCTCTTTTTTTTTTTAAATTGTCTTCAGTACAGTTTTTGACAATTAAATCTTTGTAAGTTTGTTTGTTTGGGGGTGGTGGTGAATGAAACTGGTAGTCTTAAATTCATAAGCTGCTTCTGGGTTGTCCTACCTGCCCAGTCTTCCCTTCCTTTCCTCTCCCTTTTTCCCTCTCTTCCCCCAAAAGGCAAAGGGGGTCTGACTTTTGACTTCAAGTTTGGAGTAAACAGCTGCATAGACAAATTTGTGTGACCAGGGTAGATAAAGCATCATGATGATGGTTATGGCAGCCTTGRTATTATTGTCAAACACACTTCTAGTTAGGGTGGACTTGGTCCTTTTGAGTAATTCTGTATATTCCTCTATGTTATGTTAGTAATTTGCAGCTRGAGGAACCTGAAAACAAAGTTTTGGTAGTGTTAAGCCTATAAGCCAAAATGCATGCGTGTTGCTTGGAAAGATAAACTGGAGTGAAGCCTTTCCCCACCTCTCCTTCAGAACAGTTAAATGATACTTATAGAGCTGTTTTTGAGGTATATGCTCTTAACACATTCCTTTCCCTTAAAGAAAAAACCMTTTTTGTTCTGATTTTCTTGGCTGGAAAACCTTCTGCAGGAGGTATTTATCCCTGCAAAACCAGAGCTCTAGGGGCTGTTGTGTCCTCCAGCCTTGGCTTGCCAGCCTCAGCTCTATGCTGCCACTAACAACTTAACAAGTGACCCCTCTTTACACTTTTACCTGAAGTGCTGTTTTGCTGTGTTTTAGTTTACTAGATTGGAAATGAGGGGAAAAGGGGGGGAAGTCTATAGAATAACAAACCTTATCTATAGCTGGAGAGGGTGGCATGAAAAKAAAGTCTTTCTTGCCCCTTCTCAACTACCTGCTGTTAGACTTTGTTCTGTCTAGTTTCAAAAAGCAATGAAACTCGTTTGTATTTTAATTACTAGGTAGTAAAAGGGCAGAGATCTGGAACTACATAAGTGTTAGACCGCAATCCTGTCGTCTTTGGCGCCCTGTTGCAGCAAGTCGTGTTTTCGCRATGTTTTGAATTCTCCATGGCGTTAGTTCGGGACTCGTAGGGCCGAGCTCGTGGATAACGGCCTCCCGCGCCCCAGCCGTGGGCCGTCCCCAGGCGCGGCCGCCGCCTCCCGCCGCGGCGCGGCGCTCTCGGGGTGGCCCGAGGGGGCGGTGAGAGGAAGAGCCGCCCCTTCCCTTCCCTCCCATTCCCTCCACTTCCCGGCGGCCCCGTTTGAATCGCGGCGGGAAGGCGGCGGCGCCGCCCGGTGAGTCCGAGAGGGCTCGCGGCGGCGCGGCCGTTGGGCGGCGCGGCGGCCATGTTAGGAGCGCGGAAGCGCCCGTTGTGGGGCCCGGCCGCGGGCTCTGCAGGTGGCTTCTCCCCGTCAGCTCTGAGAAACGAAATAAAACACAAGTGTAGATGCCGCCTTTCCACATTGTCTTTCCCCAAAGTGCGGCTTGTCGCTGCGCGCGGTGTCAGGGCGGCCTCTCGAACAAGAGGTTGCACCTCTTGCATTGAATTAACGCGTGTTTTCTCCTCTGCCCCTTGCAGGTTTCGAAACGCAGAAAGTGGGTTTGTTCTGGAGGCTCTCTTTCAGTAGTTTTATCTTCAGTTGGTCAGTTCCATTGCATAAAATTCATAACGATGTCCTCAAAGAAAAAAATAAAGAAGAGTTCCACAAACAARTTAAACGTAAGTTTTGTTACCTTGAGATTCGTTAAAAAAGTGAAGTTGAGTGTACCATACCATTGCAGCATCAGTTCTGTAAGCCAGTGTGCATGTGTTAGYGCAGAGCATTGCTTGGGTTGAAATTGGAAACTTTATTTTGGAAGCAACTGTTATTGAAGGCTTGGGGTGTKTTTTTCATTATTATTGTTTGTTTGTTTTGGAAGTGGTACCTAATCAAGTAAATGGGTTTTCCCTCATTTTCAAACCAGCAGAAGTTTGATAATAGTTCTGTAAATTTAAAGAAAGCAGCTTAAAAAACAATTATTAGATGCTGCTGCGTGACTAGCATGAACAAAGATGGAGACTTATGTTTGTATATGGGAGAAGTAAAGCATTTAATATCTGAAAAGAAATAGGCTGCAGATCATGTAAACTAGTTACTGGATTGCTGTAAGATTTGTGAACTTATATATTTGTATTTATATAATAACATTAAGCTCATACTACAATGCAATACAAAACAGCAGGATATGCCAGTTTTATACTGTAACTTCTCCTATGGGAMAAGTAGAGCCTGAGGCAAAAATATATAGGCATTTTCCAAATACTCTATATTGTAGCTTATTAGTCAGTATGGCCCAAATATTTCTGGTCAAAAGTTCTTAAAATTTGTTGTCATGTTTAACGTGACTTGCACTTAAAAAGAGGTAAGAACTGAGCTGACTGATTTAATGTGCACTCAGGAGTACAAAGCCAGCTCCCATTCCCGAAGGAAGTTGCTTCCTCCTGACGAGCCAGACGTTTCAAGGATTTTGAAGGTAGCAGAAAATGAGGAACTTGGGGAGCCTGATTCATTTGGTTGGTATTAACTTCAATGTCACTTAAAGAATGATTTTCATGAACTACCTTTATGTGYACAAGATTTCATTGTTTATCTAGCAAGAGGTATTGTACCTTTGCCAAGGAAATTATGGGAAGGAGAGATGGAAAACATTTTGTTTGGAGACTTTACATTTTTTTGATAGGAATTAACTAGAACAATGCAGTGAGACATGTAGGGTAAAAATTGATGAAAATACTGGCTACTCAGATCATGTAGTCTGAATCCTAAATTTTACACCACGTGACATTGCAAGACTGTAAGAATTTCCAGTTAAAGAGAAGATTCTGTTTCATTTCTTCACTTATGCTCTGCTAAATAGTACAAAAAGTGAAACTTCTGCTGTTCCAGGAACATATATGATAGCAAACGGGAATGTGCCTAAGGATATTGCCCTGGCACTGTCAAATGTCACTTAGAAAGCTGTAAATCACAAGAACATATCAGTACTTCCCTACTTGGTATCAGACTAATGCAGTGAGACGTGTGCTGAAGAACCGCTTGATTTAGGTGGAATAGGGATCTCTGTGTATAGGTCCTCTTTATTTGTAAGTCTTGTATTTCAGTGGCAGGAGGAAATCTTTCAAAAATGATGTAATTAGAAATTGTCAAGAAAATGCTAAGAGCTATTTCTCAGCTGTGATATTTATTACTCTTTCTAAGAAAGTCATAGAAATATATATGAAACTCCCAAAGAYAGTATTTAAGCTCTTTTAGTGCTAGTTTAATAGTTTTAAGTTATTTGGGTAGTTTCAGCAAGCACTCCACTTTTATAAGCTTTTGTAGCATCTAGTAACTGTCTTGCAGCACTTTCATCATTCTCGTTGCTAAAAATCTTGTCACTAAAAAAGAGAAAAAAGTTAGAATTTAGAAAGTAGCCATGTGAACGTACAGAAGATTGATACTTGCCATAGCAAAGAGAGAAATTCTAAATAAACAGTTTAAAATGCTTTACTAACTATGTGGCAATAATATTTACGTGCTGACTTTCCATGCGTCTCTGCTTTCTGTTTGTAGAGAAATAGCAGGTAGATGAACATATAAACTATGAGGCTTTTTTTACTCTATGTATCTTATAAAATAGCTTTTTCCTCTAGTTTTCAAATAATAATTTAAATGAGGCTTCTTTTGTAAGAGCAAACAAACCACAAAAAWTTTAAGTAAATGTTGGATGGAAAGCAGTGCGTTTATATCCACAGTCTTTGCCTGAACAGATGGGAACAATTTTCATACAGGCTTTTTTCTTTCCTTTATAGATCACCCTTTGCACAGTACTGCTCTGGATGCTTATGAAGGAGACCATTCAGAGAATGAATCAGTTAATAATTTCTCAGATCCCCAGAAGAAACATGCAGAAAAAAGGTTTGGTGAAAAAAAAACCCAGCAATTGCCAAATCGCCACCCTTTAATTTTTAGATTTTTCAGGTTAAACAGGGAAAATATTCTGTTTGTCAGATTTCACTAACTGCTTTTTAAGACATATTTTTTAACATAAAGCCTCCAGATGACAAATCTAGTAAGAACAGGATTGGGGGATTAAAAAAGCAATTAGAAAATAATTTATGACCTGCCTGATATAAGCAGRCATAAGTGATATTGACATTTACATTTAAATAACTGTTGTGCATTTTTTAATTAAAGGATTGCRTTGGATTTTAAAATACCGCTATGAAGTATTAGTCATCTAAGTGCTGCTGTCTATAAAGTTTTAAAATGGAAAATACTGAAAAAAGTTAAACTAGTTTGCTTTGTTAGGTATAGCTTAATTGGTTTAAAAAATAATTACTTATAATTCAAGGGTTTTTTCCTTCTAATGCCAGAGTAACAAATAGGCTCCCTATTTTTTAAAGTGTCTTGGTTTAAATCTGAAATAATTTTTCCCTAAATGAAATAACACAATCATAGTGCCTGTATGGAGGTATCTCCCTTCTACCAGATACCCCAAGGAGGCCTTCTGCATTCCTCCTAAAATCCCCTCTTGGGTGGTTTTGACCTTTTCTCTATTGTCCTAATTGTCCAAAGAGTTGCTGGTAAGGAATAAAGATTGTCGCTTTTGTAGCTTTTTAGGTCGTTGATTTAGAAACCACAGACTCTGACAGAGCAGTACAAAATGCACCTCCAAACCTAAGATTTTGTTGTTTATATGTCTGAAAACCTTTCCTTCTGAGTGTGGTGGGTTTACATGTCTGTCTATCTATCTATCTATCTATCTATTTATTTATAGTAAAAGAGGACATCACTTGAAAATGTCTGAAGATAAGGTTTCCAAGCTCAAGAGAGGTCATTCTGAAGATGAGCCCCTCAAGGAGAATATGGTATTGAGGAAAAGTTGCATTCATATATCAATTTATTTATAACTTAGTTTATGCCTCCTTTGCTTTGGGAGTGTTGAGAGGGAGGAGACCATTAATTTGTTTCTTAGCCTTTCCTTAGAACTTAGTCTTSATTGGATCCTCAGTAACTGCTCCTCACAGCATTGCTGTGTGATGGCCAGGTACTGAGAGCACTGCTCTAAGCTGCCCTGGGCATGTCCACAGAGAACATAATAACCTTTCTTTCAAATAAGTATATTTATATCCAAAATATATATTCTTAAAGAATGAAACACTAAATGGAGTATAGATTTATTCAATATTGAAGTTAGAACATATTTGTGAAAGGACTGTGKTTTTTTTTCCATTAGTACGGTTGATTTTGAATATATGTTGGTATTATTCAAAACTGCTGCTTTTTCAGCTAAGTGTTTTTGCCACACTCTGGCTGTAATTACTGGGAAATGCTTTTCCCTCCCTAGCTTATGGACACACAGTTGACAGAGCATCTGTCTGCGTACTTGAGACAGCAGGCCTAGGATATAAAAACCTATGTAATACTTTGCATAAAAAAATCTTTATAATATGTGGAAATTGTTGAGAATTGTTGAAATTCATGTTGTCAGATTCAATACAGTATTAGTCTTTCATTAGTAAGCTGCAGGAATGCAGCACTATTGTGGAATTACTGCTGGTGTCCTGGAAAGTAGAGAATGAATTGAGTCAGTTAAAAAAAGGTAAGGAGGATCTGTTGTCTCTGATCTGTTGCTCAGAGAACTATTGCCACTGGGAGTGACTACACCTTTTTATCCTCAGATTAGACTAAAGGTTTCCGGCTGGGAATTATTTAAAAATGTTAATGGTAGCTTGGAATTGTTCTCCATTTAGGTAGCAGGGCACTCCAGGTCCCCTGTAAGGAAACCTGAGCCAGCTGCGTCTGCGTTGACGTCAAGGAATGGTGCTTCAGGAAAGAGGACACTGGATGAGAAGAAGAATCTGAATGTCCAAAAGGTGACAGCTGTTCCACATACAGATTTCTCAAATCACAGAGATGCTTCCACAGTCTGATTCTTTGCTGATCAGTAGCGGGGGTGAAAGGAAGAGATGAAGGCAGCTTTTTGGCCAGAGCAAGGTAGAGGGCCGACCTCACGGGGCAGCGCTGCCTTCCTCGCGTCCTTGAGCCGGCACCTCCCGTCCCRTTGGCGCTGCGAGCTCGTAGGTGCTCTGATTCTGTTGACACAGGTCTAAGCAAACATCACAGAAATTTAGGTCAGGTTTTTACTGCATCTGCCTAACTGCCGTCTTTCAAAATTTTAGCTGAGTAAACTTAGTTCTTGTTTTTGAAGTAAAGTTGCATTTTATGTTGCAGAAGGCTCAGAAGACTACTGAATTCCCAGAAAAAAAGAAGCATCGGCCTTCAGGGAAGAGTGCATTAGATACTTCTGGTAAAATAGGCTTTTCATAACTTCTGTATTGCCTGTCCTCATTAATGGTGAATGATAGTTTAAAGAACCATACTGGTAGATAGTGTTGTTTTTGAAGCATGGATGGCATTAATGTGAAATTTATACAGATGAGTTTCCTTTGAGTAAAGCAGGCTGCCCACACTCAGACTAATAGTCTTTACAGGACAAATAGTTAAAAAGAGAAATAGGTTATGTGCTTTATCAGTTAGTGTAATAAAGTGTTCCCAGGCTTTCTTAGTGAAATGATGAAAAATGAGAAATCTGTACATGATRGATTTGTTGTAAACATTTCAAAGCAATGAATTGAGTAGTCAATGGTAATTTTTCAGCCTAATATGTATGTTTATTCTTTTGTTCCAGCTGATGATAGCCCAGAGGGCTATTGTACAGGTTCTGTACAAGTTTGGTGTCCCAAAGGGGTTAAGAGACTTCCTAAAGATATTACAGAACTGGATGTTGTTCTTTCTGAATTTGAGAAGATAGCAGCAGATTACAAGTAAGTAGTCTGTTGCTATTTTAATGATAGTCAGAATTTTGTGATGCAAAKTTTTTAATATGTAATCTTAGGGAGCTGGTCTCCAGGGATTTGATATTTTTCTGAATGCCAGAACAGCATTTCTCAGCTGATGATTTCCCATGCAGAAATTGGGTTACTGCTACTACCTAAAAGAGCTGCAGTTGCCTCCTCTCCTAGAGCTAGCACATTGTCTTCTATGGATACTGTTGCTCAAAGCAATGCATGCAGAAGACCTCTGCTAAAGCAGTGCGTTTGTTTTATCCCTCTGACTTCTCCAGACAAAGAGTAGACTCCAATACTTGCAGAAAAGCTATTGATGGCTTCTGTTCTGGTTTCAAGGACCAACTCACTGATCTTGTAAGTATACAGTAAATAAGAACAATTTTGTGGCCGTGATTATAGGGCTGCATTGTAATTGAATGTCTGTGTTTTTATGTCCTATATACGTATGTCAAAATCTGTATCACTTGTGAGGTTAAAYAATTAAAAAGCGCAGTTAATTGTAGATTATGACTTGCTGCCTCTGTATTGACTTTCATAAGAATTGCATTTAGACAAAACACTGCTGTCATGCAAATATACTGCAAGGTTTTTGGCTTTATACATTGCATGTAAAATGATAGAAAASATATTCTAGGGAGTATTGCTAGCACCAAGTGGTACAGGGTAACTAATTTTGTTCACAGTGTTCCTCTGGCATGGGGAGAGGGGAAAGGATTGATGCCCAATCGATATGCTTGTCAATTAGAGTTTTTAGGTGGCTTTTCATATTATTCCAAAGTAATTCTTGCAGTCAGATTTTCATGAGGATAGGGAAATCGGGGTSTGCAGTCCATCTGTGATGCTTCTTTTTCTCTGTAGATAACAGAAGTTCAGAAGTTAAAGAATGTGAAAAGAAAAAATGCTAAGGTAAATACCCATTTGAAAGATGTGCTMTCACTAGAGTAAGCGTACTGCACACAGAGGTGAGTGTTCGCATTCAGAAAAGTCAACTAAGTAAATAAGCAAGTCACAGAAACATACGGTATTTAAAAATATAAGTACCAAAAAGAAATCAGTGTTTAACTGTTAAAAAGCCTCATGTCTTAGGATCTTCTGTACCGAGAATCTGAAGCACAAAACCCAGAAAGGAAAAAAAAAAATAACAAGCCAATTAGATACAAATTGTTTACCTTTGAAGTGCTGAAGAGTTTTCAAGCAGTTTTCTCATTAATTGTTGCAGGTAATAGCAGACACCAACAAGAAAAGGCAGCAACTGTTGCAAGTCAGCGAAGAGTTAATGGGGTACGTTTCTGACTGAAAAACTTAGTGAATCAGAGGCTGGTATTTTAAAACTCAGTAACTTTTGTGCTCTCATTTTACTTTGAAATCCTAGTGGTCCTGTTTCTGGATCCATTTCTGCATCATCAGAAGCTTGGAGTAACCCATCCCTTCCATTGTTCCGTTGTTTAGGTGTAGTCCTTTTCACAAGCTCTCTTTGCTACCTTCAGCTATTGGAGACTATTTCAGCTGATAGATTCATAGGAAGAGCACTAATGASACAACTGCAATGTCCAAGGCAGTGAATGGGAATTTGCAAGGTCCTGGGGTGGGTTCTGTTCCTGACAGGGGAGAATGCGTTTAACCTCTCTGCAGGATGGCAAGGGTGCCTCTGAAACCTGCAGTGCCCCTGGTGCCCCTTGACTTGGCACCCGTCTTAAGTATCATTAAGATACAAAACACACACATTTAGAAAACTGTTTTCTTTGGAACAACCCTTTTTTAGGCTTCCTAAATCTAGTTAGGTTCTAGTGACAAGCTTTGYCTTGCAGCTGCCTGTCATCAGGGACGTGGATCCAAGGAAGGCAGATTAAGCCCTTTTTCTGTCACATGTGGCCCTGTTTTCTTTACAGTACTATGRGCCAAGCTCACTAGGAGGAGCAACTGAAGGTATCTGGGGGGAGTGTGGGTGTGAGCCGCCCCCCAGGCTACAAGCTGTCTTCTCCTGCCCCCTGGGTTGCGTTTTAACCCTATGGTGATTCTTTTAAGAAAACTTTCTGTTGTCACACAACAAAAATGGGTGTTGCTGTTTGGTTTGTGCAACACTAGTCACGCTGTGAAGGCGGTGTGATGGACTGGGCCCTTCAGCTTCTTGGGCAGAGGAGGATCTAGGTTAGAGAGCATGATAGAGTCCCCCRGGATAAGTATGTAAGGGAGCCTCGGAGCAAACGTGTGAGGAARCAGCCTAAGTGTTTGAGACTGGAGCTATTGTTAGACTAGATCTTTAAAGTGAGACGTGGGAAAAGGGTTTTTTTTTGGTGTGAGTTTGTAACTGTGCACATGTTTAAATAATATGTTATATACTCTGCTTATACAGTTTGTCTTACTACCCTGTGCTTATTATTTCTTAATACTTGTGAGCCACCACTTAAATCTTCCTTGGAGGGTGTATATAGTGCAGTAACTCTTGAAACAAATACTCAGATATGGTCATGAAAGATAATGGTTCCTTTCAGAACTGAACAGCAACTGAAACAGCTGCAGAGAGAATATGCTCAGTTACAGGAGAGGGAGTCATCCCTGAGGCATGCGACTCAATTCCTTATTGATTTAAAGGAACTACAGCAAAACTGCTTGGATTACAGAGAAGAAAACCCTAAAGAAAAAGCAGTAGTAAGTAAGAATTCTGCATGTGTTTCTGTTCATGGATCCCCCTAATTTCTCCTTCCATTCTCCGGCCTGCGCTGCAAGTGACTCGCACTTCTGTTAAGAGTTAATCACATATCACTATTTAATAGGTTTTTGTGGAACCAGCTTGCAAAATCAGTGCTCTAGGTATGCTGCAACAGCTCGTTCACTTTTGTCTCATGCTAGCAACAAAATGTTTTCAGAGGTTTCTGCCTCCGTAGGGCTCTGTCCAGGCCATAGAAATGTAACTCAGGTCGTGCTCAGGTCTAACASGTTCTGTAGAACTTGAAGAGTTCAGCTCTAAGAAACAGGTAATTTGTTGTTGCTCAAAGGTAGGGATAGCTCTGGTACTCACTCACAGCTTGGGTAACAGTGTCCAGCAGTTGTATTTCATCATTAGCTCCATCTCTCCTGTAGCCCTGGAACTCCTTCYCTTTTCCAGGGGCTCTGCTTCTGCCCTGCTGGGATACTTCCTGCTGACAGTGCTAGAGCCTGCCTTGCCTAGGGGAAACCCCGCCGCTTCCGGAGCCCCTCTAAACAACTTGCTGTGTTTCACTTTTACAAGTCACACTGCAGCGTTTCAGCTGGAGGAAACATAAATACAGATAGGGAAATGGTTTGTTTTTCATGTGTTTAAAAACAGTGTCTTGTAACTTTGTTGCCTTAAAACAGTATGGAACTTCCAGCCTGCCCGCTCTTCTGGTGGAATCGAGGAGAATTCTAGGTGCGGAAAGACACTTTCAGAATATTAATACAAGGCTGCAAGAGGCACTGGATGTACAAAGAGAGGAGTTATCCAAGAAACATTAAGTGCTTTTTAATGGACTCAGCAAATTTATTTGGGAACAATTACTAGAATGGGCAGTGGTTGAAGTATTTTTAATCATTGTTGCTGTAGGCTTCAATGCGTAGAAGAAATTAGTCTCACTCAGAAACTGTATCTTTCCACTGTTAAATAGTCTACATAAGAACTCATTCAAAGAGCGTCGGGTCAAATTAATGAGATGTCAAATCTTATTAAGATCACATAAACTTCCTGTTTTAAGAACATCCGTTTTTAAGCTCCTTGGCTATGTAAATAATGTGATTTTGAAACCAGTATATCCTTATAAAGAGAACAGATTGTTTGAACTAGTGATAAAGCTTTTATTAAAATTGTATATGAAATAAATTCCTCATACTTCTGTAACTGAAGAGATGATTTTACACAGCTCATCAACAAAACTTAGCCATAGAGCTAACAAAAGAGGAAAACACATTAAGCATCAAGTATTAAAGTGCTCAACTCCTTGAAGCCCCGTTCATGGAGGGCGTTCAGCCCCGGCTGCTCAGCCCAGGCAAATCTCCCTCCCTGTCTAAGGTGACCGCGTTGTGCAGCTGCAAGCAGCAATGCTCATGGTTCTGCTGTGAACTACGCTCCGTGAGCTACGCTCATGGTCCTGCTGTGAGCTACTCTGTGAGCTACGCCGTGAGCTACGCTCATGGTTCTGGTGTGAGCTACCCTCTGTGAGCAACGCTCGCAGTTCTGCTGCACACTCGGGGAGAGGAGAGAAGCCGCGGCATCGCCTGTGGACGCCACGACAGGCGCTTGTATGGAAGCCCCAGCGGGGTGAGTTTGTGCGTTAGCCAGGCCTGGGGTCAGCTGGGTTCTTAGCACAAGCATCCTCTTTCCTTACAGCTTCCAGAAGAACTTCATCAGGAATTTCTTGTGGGTCACCATTCAGACCGTCCCTCGCAGCTTCAGCTAGTTCCACATCATCAGTAGCTTCCAGGAACCAGGCATCATCACTTGCCTGCTCCCACATACTGTCTGCTTGGAGGAGGTCTCTAGACGCGCAGTTTTCTTGAAATACTGAGCTTTTTGGCACCTCTGTAGAGTCAGAATGCCCTTTGTTCTCATTTTCATCCATTACTGCATATTCTCCTTCCTTTTAGAAACAAAGTCACTGTTTATTCCATATGCAAATGATCATTCCTTTARCTGCTCTGATTTGAAAATTTGAAATTATTGGTGGATTTGTGTGATGTCACCTAAGACAGACGCTATAGAAAGTTGGGCAACAACACAGTTTGCTAGCAGATTAATTTACAGACACAGTCCACTATGGACAGCTGTTTGAAAAGGAATAAAAATCTGTTTGACCAGTTGAAGGGTTTTAGATAAGTCTTAGTGTCTATTTAAGGATATATCAAGGTCTAAAAATGCATTTAAATTTGTCTAAGCAAAACTCATGTACCACTTTGCAGTGTGAATTTTAAGAGCTGTTAACATTATAATTAAGCTTTTGCAACCTACCCTGTGGGAAGGACTGTTGTGTTCAGAACTTGGGCTCTAGCAAAGACATGAGGTCAGTGTAAATATTCTACCTTTGTGGATAAACATCAGTGAGTTAAGCGACCTCCACATGAAAATTAACAGAATCAGTTGTGTTTCAGTAGACCAAGTATTGAAACTTATCTCTAAGTCCTTAAGAGATACCCACGCGTGTTTAAGTTACCAGAAGAACTGGTGTGCTTGTTTCGCACACACCTACGGTAGGGTTCAGTTTTTGATGATGCTTCTACACAAAATGCTTTTCTGTGTTAACGCCCTTGTGCTGCCTGCTCAGCAGCTTTGTTGCCAGCCCTTCGAGCACAGGGGCAGTGCTCAGTGTGGGCTCACTGACTTTTGCCTGTTGCCCTGCCTCATCTCTAAGATTCCTTGGTCCTAATGCTGATAGATTTACAGCCAAACACAGGAAGCAGGATTTTTTTTTTTTTGACAGTCAATGGGCAAACTGAGGTAGCAGGGATTTTCGGAGACTTCTGCAGACAGAAKTTAATTCCTAAGAATGTTAGCACGTGAGCAAAGCAGGCACAAAAACACATACCTCTTGGAAAAGAAAAGGAAGACAGATCCTAGGTGGCAATGGAAAACCTAAAGGAAATACATGGTATTATTACTAAGGTTATAATTGATACTTTTTGGAGTGTTAGTTGCTTTGAGAACATACATACTCTGTGATTTGAAGTTTTGCTCTCTGCAGACTGGGTCGTGACACTTTTGATACCAGACTTCCTTCTTCAGGTCTACCAAAATCCTAAAAAAATACAGCATTTAGTAACAGTTCATGACTAAAGTGAAAAAAAAAAAAACCACAAAATGGAAGTCCCACACTAAACGAACAGCTTTTTTTCCACTATGGATATTATTTTTATATGCTGACCCATTCATGACATACTTGTTTTGAACATAGTCTTGTTGTTTTTCCAGTAAACTTCAGGCTGAAGTTRAAAAAACATTTCTTTCAAGATCAAGTGACATTTAGTCAGTTTCCTTACAAGTCATTACAGAAAGATTAGCGTACATGACCTATCTGTAGGGTAATATTTTGCTGCTGCTGTTGTTAAAGATAATTTCATTATAAAGGCTAGATAAAAATCATTATTTCTTCGCAACTGAGAGCGCGGAGTTGTCCATCAGACGTGTTACGGAAACACCAAGCTCCAAGTCACTTCAAGAGTTCATCCAGTCTAGTGGGTGGCAAGGGGGTTCTACTCACTTCTCAAAAAATTCTTTATCTTTCACTTGTTTTGAATGTTGTTTACACAAAACTAGGCTTTTTAGCAGTAWTTTTTTTTTAAGCAGTAAATATTTCTACTAACGATCTAGGGCATTTCTGCTGTTGTCTAAAGAGCTTGACTTTTCAACAGTCTGTTGGTGAAAACATGAGAAGTCAGAGAGTCCTCCTGGAGTGACTGGCAAAACTCACCTTGGCTGAAACCCTGGTAGGAGTTATTATTTTAATAACATAGAATAATATCTATTTTCTTTATCTTCAATATCCTAGCCATTTAGGATATTAGCCACCCATCATTTAATAGCTTTTAACATATTTTAACTTGTCTGTTAACATCTGTAGCCACTTACTTTAAATAGCATGAAGACAAATTCTTACAAAAATTAGAAAATTGTCACAATTTAATTGTGTCTTGTACCACTTAAGCCACTTAAACTGTGTCACAATTTAATTTAATAAATTGTCACAAAGTAAAATTAAGGGRAAAAAAAATGTTTTTCAATGGGACAATAGACCAGAAATTGTTAACAGGTACTGATAAAAGGGACTGATTCTGTCTATAAGAGCTTTACAGCATTTTTACAGAGTAAYACTGAAAAATATATAGTGAAGTTGTTTTGAAGTGGCTACTGAAGAGTGAAAGAACATACATGATGTTGTTGCTTTTGTGAGCTCTGCCAATATTTTCACACCAGCGGTAACCAAAGATATCATACACAATTATTTCCTCCAGAGAGAAATAGTTCCATTGCCGTATACCTGGAAAAGAAGCACTTGTTTAATTGTTTAAAAACACTGCTGTTTGCTTTTGACAAATAACGTATTTCTAAAGTGATTCTTTTACCTCCTCGCACCCCGTCTTTATTAACCAAAGAACGAACGAAAGAATCAATTTCTGGATACGGTGACTCCTGRTAGCCTTCAGTGGACTCTGTTAAACAGACAAACCCACGTGTATTATTTTTATGCATTCTGCAGAGGATGGACAGAAAACATCCACGAATCCGGCTAACTCCAGAGTGACTGGCACAGGGGCACGCAGCCCCTAGGCAGGTTAGCACCTCTCCGTTAAGACCTTTTTTTTGTCTATAGAGTAGAAAAGGGCTGAGGTACCTCTAGCACTTCTAGTAGTTTTGCTGTTTAAAAAAGCAGATGTTTTTCTTTYCTCTTCTGAGGCGTTGGATGTCAGAATTTTTGTGTCATCTCCAGACCTGAACAAAAGAGGAAATGCAGGGGAAAAACACCCAGTTTTGTGACACAGAACCTTTCACTGTGCCTACAGCTGCCACACACCCTTTCCCCCTCATTTGACAGATTCCTTTTGACTTGCACCAGCAGCAGGCAGGGCTTCATCCTTCCAAGTAACAGACTATTTTCCTGGCACAATCCCAATATCCAGCCCTTTGAAGGGTTCTGGACCATGGTCTTACAGGAGTATGTACTCTGGGTATAGCATTGGGACATCTATATCTTCTGATGGTCTTCGGCCACGATTCTGCTCCCTTTCCTTGCGGTGCCACTAGCTGCAGTCAGAAGGCTGCACTCGGCCCTTGAGCTTCTCACCTACACCGAGGTCGGACGCGGCAGGTACCCACTGCGTGAGCACACTGCACAGCCAGCGCCGTGGGACACGGGCGCCGGSGCGGGAGCAGCTCGCGACGCAGAGGCTGCAGTTACAACCAGTGCAAGTTTTTACTTAATGMAAAACAACTCCTGAGGGTGTGCAGAAAGAGAGCACAGCGGGGAAATGATACCGACCGCTTTGTGTTCTTCAAATGTACGGGGCATTTGAAGGTAGCTGAAAAGAATGGATTCCCCACCATTTTTTTTTCTTCAAAAACAAGGCATCTTATGGAAAGCCCTACTTTCCTGTAACATACTGTAACAATATGTTTATGGAACACTTGTCCATTAAATACAGTTCATAACTGCTGTAGGATGAAAAAAATATTGAAATGGATCTTTAAAAACATTTTAAAATTAACCATTACCCAACATTGCAGACCAGAGARGAAAGAAAGTATGCTTCTTCCAGAGAAATGTTATTTTCGCATGTAGGGACAAACTTATTATCCTCTGCAATCTTCAGAATCACGTTTTTTCCTGCTTTTGATGACTTATACATCCGGAAGTTTCTGTTCTTTGTATAAACTCCTACAGGAAAACAGATGTTTCTTAGCTGGCTGGCATTTAAAATACTTAACACTTCAGCATTAAACAATTTTTCTAAGATTCTTAGAATTAAAAGTTGCTAATCAAACTGCTAACCAAAGGCCTGAACTTTCAAAATGCAAGTTTAGTGTGTAGGAGCTATGATGATGCTGATTTTTAACATATTTATACTGTGAATAGACTGTGTACAGCTGGGMCTGCCTTGCCCTGCGGTAAGAAGTGCCCAGCCCCATTTTCTGGTATTCTGTCATCAAAATCTAACAACTGCCATCCTAAAAGCAGGAAGAAAGCTAAATTCATACGTGCATAACCATCCAGAAGGCCACACCCGTGAGACTGCTTCTAAGATTAAGCTGCTCAACTAAAACAGTAAAATGCCCTAAGTCCTTGGGAACATAATTAAGAGAGTCTTCTGTGGCCAGAAGTTCTTCAAAGTTTAGGACAGCAGTATTAAATCAAGTAATATAAGAAGTTCTACGTGCCAGGCTTCTAAGGTACCTTTATGATTACCACTTCAGCATGTGTGCTCTTTGGCAGAATTCTGGATTTGAGAACCACAATAAGCACAAGCAGTGCTGTAATTAAAGATTAAGGAATATTTGATTTCCTAACCTTGCTCGCATTCTAAGATACATCCCAAACAGGTTTAAAAGCACTTCTTACGTTTACCTAGATCCACAAAAAGTTGCTTGTGTCCTTCTTTGTCATTTACTAACAGAAATGCGTATTCAGAATTTTCTCCCTGCTGTGACATTCCTCTTTCTGTTGTTTCATRAGCAATAGATGGACAACTCTTAGATGCATCCTCTGCTGCCGAGGGGTTGATGAGGGAACCCTGTGATCCAGGTGTTGGTGCAGAGCTCTGGCAAAGGCGGCTCGCTCGCCCCTCTGGAGTGAGCCCAGCAGCTTCGCGCTCCAGTAACGCCACAGCCGGCTGCAAAACGCTCCTCACAAAGTTACCTAAAAAACACAAACGCAACACTTCTTATATTCATGAGCTGAGGAAGAACGTAATAGTTCTGGTACAAACGTTTTCAAAACAACCGAGGTGGAAGTGGTTGGGGTCTGGGCTTTTTTCTTTCCTCTCCTGGAATCTTCCTTAAAAACAAACAAAAACCTTTCTTGGCCAAGCACAGGGCACAAAAGCTAAAACGCTGCAAGATAGATTCGTCAGTTCAGCCACTGATAACAAGCAAAAATTTACCRCTGACGTATCACAGTTCTAGAAATCAATTCTCAAAGTTATCAAAGCACAACCCCACTCTTCCCACTATTCTGCTGCCATTGGAAGCCACTAGTAAAGGACATATTTTTTTTCTGGCACTCAGTTACTTCTGAACAGGAACGGCAGGGCACATCAGTGTCACAAAGGTAAATTCCATCCCTGCCAGTAACCCCTGGGATTATTCAGATAGTGCCTTGTGACAGCACTTCTACTTCCTCTCCTCTGATTTTAAAAACAGGCGCAATAGGAAGCAAAGGTTTCGGAATGAAGCCCTCGAATATCAGGAAATGCCAAAAAACAGGGCTGCAGGTGCCTAACGAAGCTGCTTGCATTCGCAAGGCGACTCGGTTTTTAATTCCATCACGGGACAGSCTGTTCTCTTATCAGCTCCTGCTTCATTCAGGCAAACCTGGATTCCTGTTCTGCTGGCTCTTCATTGTTCACTGGGTACAAGATTTTTGTTGAGAAGAGGCTATGAAGTTGAACACGGAGTTCACTGAGTTGAACATTGAGTTCATTACTAACACCTTAGTGCTTCACAAACAGTATTTTGGAGTAATTTCAAAATACTCTCTGAAGTGAGAGATATTATTACAGATATTATATAGAGATATTACTACAAATGGCATCTCGAACTGCCCTTTTTTTGTGTTGGAGCTGCTATATCCCATGAAATACCCTAATTTATATCAATAGTCAATAGTCAATATCAATGTGTTCTGCTTTTTTAAAATAGTGTTCATGTAAGGCTTAAAACTGCCTTTGCTCTGCCTTTCTGACTCTGTGCTGAGCATAAACCAGCTGTATTTAGGGCTAAGGATCTTAGAGATTAAGACGTAAATTAATTTGGAAATGATGCAATTGTACTATAAAAGCCAATCTTAGCAGCAGCTGTGTAAATACAACATATAGATACATAAGGAGTTCACATTTTTATGAACAAACAGGCTAATCAATAGAGAATAAAATTAAAAGATGACCCAAGGAATACTGAGGCATAATGAAATACAAATATGTAATCATTTTGCTGGGACTATGTATTTGCTTCCATATAATTCTGCTAAAATAAATATTCAAATGCCACAAGGCACTAAAACCCAGCACCACCTCACCTTTTATCTCTAGTTTGTAAGAGAAAAGAACACACTTACCAACATGGATATTATTCTTAAATACAGTCTTGTGGGGTAGAAATATCAAGTGACGACTAAATTTTTCATCGGTACTGGAATCTAAGTTCAGGACATCTTTGGCTGAACATTTAACATCATAAATTTCTTCTAGCTTTTTGTTGACAAGCTGAAAATTATAAACACAAGGGAGGCTATTTTCTTTAGCATTTTTAATAGAGAAGTCCAAATTCTATCACAAATGCAGATTCTACATTTTATTTTCACTTTCTCATTTTGAGCATGCAACTGCTTACCTCAAACCAGCCACAAAATTTCAAAACTTCCCAAACATAACCAAAATGTGACATATATAGATTGTCCCTCCTGAGTTGAGCAAGTGACTGAATGTACTAACACTGCTAAGATGGACAAATTTTCTTTCAGTTCCAAGTCTAATTTAGTGGCTTTGTCGACAACTTGGCTTTGTCCGTGAGTGCCATTCCACCACCAGTGATGTTACTTCTAGGGCAGGCTTAACTTAAACCCAAGGCAGAGGCTAAACAGACCAGTGAATACCAAAATGCTGAGTGGGGTCACCTGAGGTTCTCTGCATACCCATTTAAATCAGCTATAATGAACTGTCCTATGGAGCTGCCTAGAATTAGGAGGGATGTACTTAAACCTTACSTAGCAGAGCACAAGGACCAATACTATGACTCTAAAATAAAAATAATCGTATCAATGAAACCTATAAAGAGCACGACCCTTCCAACCACCATCATCCTTGGCTTTTTCCCTGCCATTTAAAGCATGAAACCTTTGCTTTAACTAAAAGCATGCTTTTCCTTAAAAACACCCACTAATTACATAATCCTTTTTAAAAAATCATTATTTTACTACAGAATAATCACAAAAATTAAAGTGGTAAGCAGTTCAGTTTCATATTAAACCAGCTAATTAACATTAACCTACACATGATTAACTGTCTTTGTTCTAGTTTTACCTCAATTAACTTTGCAACCATACTCTTGCCATCGGCCCCAGGATTTGCCGGTTTGTAGAACTCCAAATCAAAATAAAGTTTACAAGCGTCTTTTTCCGGAATTACTTCATAGCAGTGCATCAGGCTGGTTTTATAATCTTTGCTAAGGGAACACAAAAGCAACAGCTTCTCATAATAAACACGACACATGCTTTGTAAGACAAGAACCTCACAAGACCTAAATATTCTTTTACATTTTAACCAACTAGCCATACTAAAACTAATGTAAGTAACAGCCCTATGTTTCTATGAAAAAAATGTAACTAACTTTAGAAAATATGTGCTGATTTTGAAAATATGCTGGTGTGTGGTCTGGGATGTATATATATATATATATATGTAAAAACATATATATAGTTATACATATATATATATAGACAGTATGTACTACCAACAGAAATGAGGTCAAGAATTTAAGGAATGATGAAAACTACAGTAAAAAGATGGCATAAAATATCACTGTTATGACTTAGAGCCCTAAAAATACATTTATTTATATTTTTAAACTAAATTATATAAAAAAAAATTCATGTTGAGAAAAAAAATGAAGTTTTCAGTTCTAACGATAACAAAAGATTTCTTTCTCTTTATAACCAGATGTTTTATTGTGGAAGGGAAAAAAAAAGAAAAACTTTCCACACACGATCAAATTGTCAATACCTGAAACTGTCCACAAAGTAAAAACAAAACCCTATGTTTTTCATCAGGCATTTATACTAATTTGCATTTAAACTGATATATCACTCGTCATGGCAGTATATTTGTAATGTGTGTCGGGCCGTGACCAAGGCTGAGCAGCTACTGCAGCTCCGTGCCAGCCACAGCGCTGACCCCCAGTAAAGGGGGGCTCCTTTCTGAGTACTTACGTGTAGTAAAACCAGAGCTCGCAATACGTTGTCACAAGGTAAAATCGCTGCCCATTTTGTGTGTTCTTCTCCAGGGCAAATACATGAACATCCTTTGTAAGCAAACAAAAAGTTAGGTCATTTTATTTAGGCAATTCATTAAAATGTTCATATTTTCACATTTGGCATTAATTTATTAATAATTTATTAGTTAGCCTTTTCCAAAAAAACTGTTTTTTGACTGAAGCAGCTGTCTTTAMTTAGGAACTTCTTAGTGATTTCAGTTGCATCCTTATAAATTTGAAGAATWGAGATCAAAAGAGCTATCACAAATGTACATCAATGTAAATTCTATTAAAAACAGCACACACAAAAGAAAAGAAAAACAAACCCTGACAAGTTGGTGAGAATATTTTTAGGAAAAACAACTGTCAGAACAGTCTGAAAGAGACAGAGAGCAATGCCTACACTTTGAGTTATTTAACATCGCCCAAAGTCACAGTATCTGGATRCTTCACACTCTTAACATAATAGCCCCTGCATCTTCTACATCACGGGACAACATAAGCTCTGCCTTTTTTTACAAGTGGGAACTCGGGGCAGATTTAAACTGTCTAGTCCAAAACCAATGCAAGAAATCTGTGGCAGCAGGACATTGAAGTGTACATCCTTTTAAGTGACTAGATATCAAGAATACTTTCTCCTGCTGTTGAGCCTTTCCTTTCAAATGCTTACTCAGTGCCCACAGATATTCTGCACCRGCTTCTTACTAGGGAGTTATCCAAGTTTGGAGTGTATACAGCTTGCTATACCTCACAAATTCTCTGTAACACAAGGTGGGTTAATTTTCTTTTTATTTTGCTAAGTCTCTACCTCCTGTTCCCCCCCCCCCCGCCTTTTTTTTTGGTCCTTTTATATTTTCTCCTTTCTTCTTACTTGACTCTTGCCTCTTTCCTATTTTTCCTGCCATCCTTGCTTATCTAATGGGAGAATCAATCGATCACTACAAAGTTGCCAAAAAGCACCTTAGCTGTTGCAATTTAGAACAGTACTTATTATAGTTGTCCTCAGTGCATCAGGATCTCCWACAAATATTTTTAAAAATTACTTGTTGTTTCACAATTTCAAAACAAAAAGATCCTGTAACCTRCTAAAGACTTCACAGTCAACCGGGCTTTTTAACGAAGGCAACTATTGAAAGTACTCAAAGAGTAGAGGCATTCAACAAAGAATCTACCTCTTCACAGGTTTTTACGTAGTGAAAAGCTTCAGCCTGACGACAAAATATTTTCCAAACAGGGGATGGCTGAAAAGGTTTGGACAGTTTTGGTCTGTAAACTGGAAGAAGAGGATTTCTTTCATAGTAAGATGCTAGTTCTTCAACTTTCTTCAGTCTTTCTTCCCATTTTCGCTTCATTTTCCTAAAGCAAATACAAATAGCCAAATCAGGATCACTTGTTTGTGGTTGAGTGTTAATATTCCTTATACCCATCTCTCGTTTGGATTCTGCATTTTGAAGCATGTTATATACATTATTTACTCACCTAAAATAGCCAATATGCAAAATCACCATCAGCTTAATTGTGATATTCCCTTTAACATTCAATCTTTCCATACAGTTTTGGTAACAAAGGATTATTTATTTTCATATTAATTGAATCCAAGAGCAACATATAGAAAAGGCAAAGTAACAATGCATAAGAAGTTTCATTTTTTATTTACAGAACAGTATTACAGTCTGCAAAAAGTACATAAAACTGAGATATTAGCCTCACACCACTAGTAGCAAGTGCAAAAATATTAGCATTTCTGCTTAATGAATGGAGGAAAAAAAACAAAGGTAATTGATTTACATGAGTAATAAATCACTTGAGTTCCTGAGTAACAAAATTGCAGTGACCTAGCTCTGTGTCTCAAAGTCAAAACTGAAATCCTAGATGCATGCTCCATTCCCTGCTGCCGACCTTAGCCATGAATGGCACTTTCACCTGCTTTAAAATTGCCTATTTTCTCTGCTTCCTTGCAAACCGGAGGTAGCAATCCTGCCTGTTCCAGGAATGGCACGGCAGGTAACCATGCCTGTCATCATGTAACCTTTAAACCTGTAACCACGTAAAGGAATACGAATGCTGTAAAGCCACGTAGAGCACAAAAACACATTAACAGAACTGGTGGATAATTACTTGCAACTTTTATTATCTTTTTTTTTTTTTTTTTGAGAAAAAAAAATGTTGCCACTCAAAATGCCTGCAAACAGGTTGGAGCATTTTGAAGAAACCGAAACCGAAAGTTGGCGACACAAGTGAAAAAGATGAAGGTGCATCTTTTGTTCTGCCTAGGATTGCCCTTTGCCAATCCTTGCTACTCAYCCAAATGTCCAGCTACAACAGGAGAAAGCAAAACCAACTATACCCCAAGCAATACCCCCTGTGGGCCTGAACCCCAAACTTTACATTCTCTGAATCACCCTGAGTTTTCTGCAGTGAAGTTTCCTGGACACCTACATTTGTGATAATTTGCACTTAAACCTGCCTGCAGTTTCAAGGTTTAGTGCCCATATCAAGTCTAAATAAAAGACTTCTTGAATGGATCCTAACACAACAGGTATGCAGACTTCGACAGCCTGCTGACCTATGGACTTCCTCCGAGCCCTTCCACTTCATGCAATCGATTTCTGCCTTGGAAATTAAGAGAAATCATAGATTGAGAAATCAGTCAGCATTTCTCAGAAGCACTGGGCGAATCTTTAGTTTCATTTTGATAATTAACTTGGTGCAGAAGCACCACACAGATTCACTGCCTCAGCACCCTGCACAAGGTGRCAGCTACAGAGATGCCCCATAATTTGACACTCACTTTAAGTTTACCATTTAGATTATTTAGGATTTTTTTTTCCCAGAATGTCAGATTCTACAGGAATACTTCAGTCTGAGCAACTTTAGACCGAGATCTGTTGCTTCTTGTTTCGGTCCCAGTGCTCATGGATTCTCAGCACTCTGGTCTTTCCCGAGTCACTTCAGCTCCTACACCAAAGACACCCAGCACAACCTGTCTACTTGGAGTACGTCCCGTTCACCGCTGCAGGCTGCTGAACCTTCTCATCAGTTCTTTCCCACCAGAGGTAACGGGAATAATTATTTGCATTCCGCTTCCCAGAATTTTGTCACCAATGTGTTTGGACCAGATATGAAGACAGTCAGAAGAGGTTTGTCCTGGGAGATAAACTCTCTGTTTMATTTTCCCCGTCCACGAAAGTCTCTCAAAAAGCAGGCAACTGCCTATGGGAAAATTCCGCCTTTATTCCTGAACTCAGGCGCTGGTTGTGCCCGTTCCGAGCAGACCCCACGCAGCCTCGCAAGCTCCATCCTAAACGAAGCACCGCTCTGCCCTGGCTCCGCGCCTGCCTTTCCCTAGATCCCTGAACGCTGCCAGGTGCCCCTCCCGTGCTAACCCTCCCTTGCGGCTTATTTAAAACCACGAGGAACCCTCGCCTGGACCGTCAGAGACGCATTATCATTATTATTATTGTTGCTGTTGTTGTTATTAGGCGCACGGAAGCAGGGAGGCCAGGCGGCCCCGGGCACATTTCCCCGCCGCCCCGCGCGGAAACACTCCCGTCTGACGGCGCGGCCTCCGCGGGGCAGCCGCGCTGCAAACCTTACCGAGCGAGGCGGGAAAACACCGCGCAGCGCCAACGCCAACGCCGCCGCCAACGCTGCCCCGACCCAGCGCGGCCGCGCGAACGCGCCGCCGTTGGGCTGAACACGCCGCCGTTGGGCCGAACGCGCGGCCGTTGGGCCGAACGCGCGGCCGTTGCCGTTCGAACGCGCCGCCGTTGGGCCGAACGCGCGGCCGTTGGGCCGAACGCGCCGCCGTTGGGCCGAACGCGCCGCCGTTGC